GTATACAAGGTGGAATTTTGTAATGCCACCTAAAGGGAAATTACTCTTAATACTGTAGATAGAAAATTTTACTCAAAGAAAACATTCCTTTATTTTTGAAAAGAAATAAAACTGCATTCAAAGATTTCCAAAAATTTGCTTGCTACACACGGGAATCGAACCAACTAAAATATGTTAAAAATTACACCCTGTATTTTTATTGCATCGATCGTTAGGGTTAAGTATAAGGATAAAATCTCTCAAACAAACTTGATAAATGAAATGAAAGGATAACCATGAAATCTTAAATTATTGTAATTATTTACAGAAAATTTTATGGTATGGTGGTAAAATTTCATTTCTTTTCGAAAATCTTTGAATGCAGTTCTCTTTAAAAAAATAAAGGAATGTTTTCTTTAAGTTAAACTGTCTATCTACAGTATTAAGGATACTTTCTCTCCAGGTGGCATTAGAAAATTCCACCCTGTATAGACCTACATAAAGCAATAAAAGGACTATTCCTACCTCTGCAACTCCTGTGTAGCCAGCCAGGATCCACAGTTTGACTGCCAAAAACCCAGCCAGTGAAGGCCAAGTCTGACCAAAGCCAATAAAATAATGCTAAACATAAAGCGCAAGCACAGTTTAAGTCCTTAAGATATTATCAAATAACTAGTTGAAACACAATCTTTTAATCTTTCCCCGTATGAGTAATCTGAGCAAACACTTTACGCCAACAGAAATGTCAAGGTGCAACAGTGTTCCATAGGTCGTGGACGCGAATTATGTGTAACAACACATAAATTGACGGCAAATAACACTAAGTGGCTGAAATTGTTTCATGACTTGAAGTATTTTGATGTTGGTTAATTCAAATTGCATTAAGTTTACTTAATTTACTTGCTTCGATATGTAGAACGAAAAAACCTGATAAGTGACCAATATTAATTCGGTTAAGAACTAATACAAGGTAAAAATGTGAGTTAAGTAGGTCCTCAGAATGTTGTATCGGAATCCAAAATTTACTGCAACATTGCTCTCATCTGATTTTAGTGATAACATAATGACAATCTTGCCTTATGCTTGCATTTTTCTCGATCAAAAATTGCAAAAATATTCATAGAAAGGTATAAACGTACTGGACAATGTAATGTCTCGATGATGATGCTTTTGACAAAACACGCGAAATGACTTGAACATTCATGCTCTCAGTAATGCAAACCCGTGTAAGGACCTAATGCATGTTAAACAGGGTTCATCCCCTCATTTCCTTATTAAATCACACAAACTGCGTATTAGCATGCGAAAGACAGTGATTTGTCTGCACGTGTCACATTTGTGACTAGGGGTGAGGTAAAACTAGATCAGAAATGCTTAGTTATTGCTTTGTGCTTAAGCACTATTCTCACGAATTTATCTGACCGTAGTAGTGACTCATTCTTCTAATGTTCTTGAAGTAGGTAGCTTCATTCATTTTATTTTATCATAACGTGATTAACTATTCATAAAAAAATCCCAATTTACTGCTGTAATAATGCATGAACTTAATACGAATCAAACTACATATTGTTATGGATCTTGTTGCTTGGAATCTTGATGTTGATTGTTATCTAAGTACGTATTTGATGCGGGTTCGTCATGGTTTCGTTGTAAACAATTCTAACCGCAAACATACAAGTATACTAATTCCAAAACAACAATACACGTATAAGTACTAGGCGACCACAGGTGTGTGATCGGATATCTTATTTTTATGCGATGTAGAATAGAATGTAGCGAGCACTAAAGCCGAGTCGATCTCTAGTCGTAACGAACGCGGGCCCACGTAATGGCACCGCCAATAAACACCGCAGCGCCTCCCCCCATTATATTCAGATGAGACACGATACCCACTGTTGTGCTCTTTTTGTCCACACAAAACCTGCCACGAGAGTGAGATGTTCTAATATACGCGCACGTTTTGCAACTTTGCTAAAGATAACTACTGAATATTTATCAGATATGGACGTAAAATGTTCAGACAAAATGTCTGTTTTATGCCTTTAGTTGTAGTCAGTTCTTTTATTTACTTTGTACTAAAGCAGCATTACACGACTTTTATGTAAATCACTTCATCCATGATATTTCAACGTGCGTGTAAGCAGACATAATAGAAAATCAATTGTCTGGGGCAACTCGCGCGACCGTCAGGTATTATTACAAACCCATGTACGGCTATTGATTATTACCCCTTTTGCTGGCATGTTATTAGTTTGTACAGTAAATAAATGACAATCATTGTTAGCAAACGTCATCATTTATTATATTTACGAGTAATTGACACCACATTAGGTATTCAGTACAATACGGAATGACAATACTGTCGTTCAATACAGTATAATAGATTAATTACAATACCTAAAGCTAAACAATGAATCATTTTGTTTACAGCACTCTATTGTCTTCTTTATTGGGGTTAAAATATGTATTTGGTGATTTATGTTGCAAGATACTGTACTTCGATAATGTGCCGTTAAGCTCAAGTTACGAATATGCAGCAGACCACGTTTCCATAAAAGTCCGGGAGAACAGATGCGTGCTCTCACACGGCTGACGCCATGTGCGAGGCTCTTGTACCACGTAATGACTCCATTCACTGCAATTATAGACTTTCCTATGCAAATTATTGTGAACTCAACTGCCTGCTTTCTAGGGCCTTACATTATAGCCGCGGACGTTGATGGCTGCCAGGCTAACCTTCCCGTTTCTAGAAATCTGACGAACTGCCGCGCGGTGCTCAGGTGTTGCTTACATAACGTGAATAAAAACTATAAACTTGCAAAAAATTGTGATATGTAAGACGCCAGATCTCATATCAGTTACACTTGAAGATAAGATCTCATGTGATTTGGTTTCTTAATTTGCCGAAAAGTAACACGCTCTATAATTGTTAGATCAAATTAGTGCGCACTTAAATGACCTTACAGTCTGCATCTGCGCTAACAAAAATGCATGCAACAATTCTATTTAACTGAAGGTGAAATCTATATTGAGCTGTCTCCAGGCAGGCTGATATTACGTTTCAACTACCTCTAACAACATCTTGTTAGCACCTATTGAGACTTCTTACGTCATATTGTCGATTAAACCCCACCGGTCTCTGACCGAGCATGATCTAATGAGCTCTTTACGACGCCAATCCCGATGAAATCTTCATACATTTAAATAGATTTGAATGAGTTAAGATTCGCTCGCAAAAACACCTGTCCGTGGCGATCACGAACTGTATTGATACTAGAAATCATTACGAAAACGTGACCGAGAACCACCCTAACGGGATCGCTATTAATTGCCTGTTTCAAAGAACCCATGGCTATTTCTGTGCAGCGAATTCGTTTTTTGATCTAAGGCTCACGTGTCGTCAGCGGGAAGTTATAATGCTAGGACATTACGTAGGATAGGACGCGGCGAACGCAGATAAAAACCAGTGCGTTGCGGTGCCGCCCGATCGCAGCAGATACATGCAGCCGTCGTGACATGCCTCGCTGCCCAACATCCGTCGACACGCCTTTTCCGATTGCTCCTTTTTGCCGCCACGCAACGTCAGCCTTTTAACCGTACATTGTGCGAGCGACGTATCTGATGCACCCACGTACATTTGTTCTTTAAAGTGCATAACATTCAAAACAATGCTCATGTCTATCAAATAAAATGTAAGTGTCACCTTCACCATTGTTCGCGACTCGGACACGTACAATTTCATCATCGCCATAGAATTATTTGTAACGAAGACACGCGCCCGCAGCCCACATGTTGAACAACATTACCTATAGTTTGTTATTATGTCGCAGCGCAGCTTTCGTTTAACTTCGTAGTTCCTTAAACAACAGCCGATTATCGATGCGCGTATTGTTTCACGTCGCTTGGCATGTACGCCGCGTCGCGGTGCGTCGTATCGGGCATACAATAGACGTATTTGAAGCACGTGCTGCGGTCGCATTGATGCCGCGAGCCCGCCGCTGTCGCCAGGTGAGCGCTCGCGGAGAGATTAGCGTGAGCGCCCGCGCATCCGCGATCGCTATCAATTTGTCTGCAGGACAGCGCCGCGTCCGAGCTCACAGCATTGTCTTGTCCTTTCAGACGTCATTCGCCCGTCAACGTTACTTTGTCTCAACCTCCACTATGCCTCTTTGTCTGTTGATAGGTTGAGATTCAGGCCGATTAAATCTAGATAATTGCATCGCCAAGGTCTTCCACGAAGTCGACATTTAGACAACCAGCTCTCATCCTTAGGCGTACCTTTTGATCAGCATAATGAGACTGGTACGCGTTCGCATAAATTCAAGATAATGGTTATACAGCGTGAGAGAGCACAGTCGTGCCACGTTAGTTTACGTAATAAGTGGATACGTGGAAGTGACTGCGTCGCGATTCTAACTCGGCACCCTGGAAACGCCCAATTTCCCCACTTAAGCCTTCTGAACGAGAACTAGTACGCCTATACCCATTATTTCAATTGCATATTTGACCCGGCTGTTGTATGACTTTATTTAGGTGCACGCTCGGCAATGAGCCCGAGCTGTCGATGCGTTATCGTAAACGCTTGCGCGGTTCACGTGTCGACAACGATTCTAAACCCTAATACACACATCACGACCAGCTCGAGGGGTGACTTGACTGGCGCAGAGGTTGCCAAACGGATAATTTTCGACTCGATACAAAAGAATATATGTGGAAAGCCGGCTCGACGTCACTGCAGTGTAGAAACGAGACTGGCTACATCCGTGCTGAACAGATATGATTAGAAAAACAAAAGCTATTGTGTCGCGTGCCCGACGCATGTGGAGCGTAATACGAGTCTCATTTTAATTGGAACATTTTTTATCTGACACGAGACGGGTCCCGAGCGGCTGTAACAAAACGTTAGCGTCAACTAATTGGCGTATACTCACGCTTGACATGGCGCTGTGAGATAAATTAGACAATCGTATAGAAACTTGGTTTAATCCGAGCATCGTATTGACGGGAGGTTTCTCTTTCAGGTATCTTCACGGTTATGTGCTACAACGTCCTCTGCGACAAATACGCCACGCGACAGATGTACGGCTACTGCCCCAGCTGGGCGCTGGAATGGGACTACCGAAAGAAGGGTATATTGGACGAAATTAGACATTACTCTGCAGACATCATTAGTTTACAGGCTAGTATTCCTATAGTATTTATTTATACATGCTTTGTAACTACAATTTCTAATGCTTCAAGTATTTGATTTAATAGATGTTCTCGCATTTGCATTTTCTCATAATTTTTATTCACTGTATGTTTTATTATGTTACGTAGTCCTTGAGTTCCAGTAGATGAAAATCTGATATTTAAATGAGATTTTCGAAAGATGTATAAAATTTTATCTTCTTATTTCAGGAAGTAGAGACGGATCAATTTTACAATTTCTTCCTGCCAGAGCTTAAAGGGGACGGCTACGACGGCATATTCTCGCCAAAATCTCGCGCCAAGACCATGTCGGAGTCGGAGAGGAAATACGTCGATGGATGCGCAATATTTTTCAGATCTGCCAAGTAAGTGAATACAGTAGAATCTCGATTATCCGGATATCCGATTATCCGGACTCATCCTTCATGGTTTCTAATTAGCGATTTAGGATCTGGACCCATAAAAACGGAAGGCACCGCCACCGTAACATGGTACGGACGTCATCTTAGTTCATTGTTAAACGAAATGGATGACCAATGGTCTAAAATTTAGATTTTTAGACTCTAAAATGATGTATTGAAAACCTTTTCTATTGTAAAAAGTTAATTATTGTTTGATTTTACTTTGAAATCGATTATCCGGATTTTCGATTATCCGGAACACCTCTGGTTTTAATTGATCCGGATAATCGGGATTCTACTGTATAAGTTTTACAAGCTTCGTAACTTAGCACGAGTCTGGCTGCTACGCCGTAGCACTCGACTACGAGAAAAAATCAGAGTACATTTGCTTGTAAAAATCCGGTGTCCTTAGTTCAACCAAACATTGTACATAATCGTTTAAGGACAAAAAGCGTTGGATGTAGTTATTGTATAATTATTATGATTTATATTTTCAAGACTATTTTGACATTATTGTTGTATTATTAAAAAGACATCAACGAGCTCGTAAACACTTAAGTTTATATTTTTTCTTTCATACATTTTAATTTAAAACATTGAGAATTTATTTCATAACATATTTATTTAAATCTTTACAGGTTCGCGCTTGTAAAAGAGCACCTTATAGAGTTCAACCAATTAGCCATGGCCAACAGTGAAGGGTCCGACAACATGTTAAATCGTGTTATGCCGAAGGACAATATAGGTTTAGCCGCTCTGCTGAAAACGAAAGAAGCTGCATGGGAGAACGGTTAGTTCAATTCCAACAGTTTATTAACCCTATTAATTACATTTAACCTCTATGGCAGCTAATATTAAACTAAACTATTTAATAATACACACCTCGATGATAGATTTTTTTTTCACTAATAACTAAGTATACTTTTCTATTAATTTGACTTAGGGCTAGAATGCGCTAATATTATTAACTTGTGACTAATACGAACCCACTAATATAAATTCATGTCTAATAGAAAAACCGGCCAAGTGCGAGTCGGGCTCGCGCACAAAGGGTTCCGTAGCAGCAAATATAATAAACTTATTATGTCAATTTAATCAACCTATCTCAAAAACTATAAGAGATACTTTGATCAAACCAAAAATCGTTGAAAGAGTTAATTAGCATGCATCACCTCTATTTTTTTTAGAATTTTATNCCCCGTTCGCATCAAAAAAAAAAAGGAGAACAACCAAAAAAATAAAGAGTTGTACATTGGTAGGTTTTTGATATATTATATTACGCATAAATAGGAATATTATAATGTATAAAATGAGAAACGAAACTAGCAGGATAAGTCTTAAATAGTGATTAAAAATAATAATAAATAAATCGATGATACCGTAAAAGAAACGCTAAAAGTGATTTTTTTCAAATTGTTTTAATTAAATAAGGTTTACATTTTATTTAAAAAATTGAATTTATCAATAATTCGTATAAAAGTTGTCCAAAACTGAGCCATCCCAGCTATGGCATTGTCAGGAAGGCGCTACTATCAATACTGAACTATTAGTTCCCATTTTTGCCTCGTTGGACAGCCATATAATTATGAAATTTACAGGAAGGTGCTACTAACAACTGGGTTATTAATCCAATTTTTGCGACTTGACGTTTTAGGAATTGTTTGACTTTATTTTGAATTTTTCATCCATCACTGTAATGTCACTTTCGATCGGTTCTTTTTTTCAAAACAATATTGAATTGTCAGTATATCTACAAATAATATTTAAAAATATACTTAAAATTAAAAATAATTATAATGACATAGCTGATTTAACATGCCAATAATTTGACCTACATGAATAATAAAAAAAAGTTCTAGAATAGAGTATCGATAAGAGAAAAAATGATTTTTCATACATTAAACAAATCTATTTTTCTCGACAATCCTGCTAGATGTAAGCATCTTATAAGTACAATAATTTATGCCACTAATAAGGTTTTAAATGGCATAAGTTTTGTAGCTGTACAAAGAACTTAGTACCTGTACCAACCCTTCATACAAAGTGGTTGTTCAACAATGAAAGTGATTTTTTTTTTATTGTCCTGCATATTATAAATTATATAAAATAAGTAAACGATATGTTTCAATTAATAAACCGTTATTATCTTGCTAAAAAGTTGATAAATTTGCAAAAATGCATTGTATAATTACCATTTTTCATTGCGCTACCGTTATCCACATTTTTTTTTCTAAGTCCGAGCTTTACCTGAGAACCAAGTGACGTACACTAATCTTGGGAGCCGCGCGGGTCAGCTTATGTGAGAATTATTGAAGAAATGCTGTCCATCGGCTCAATACCGAGGTTTAAACATAGGTCTGACTCGCGGTCATCATTGTCCGACGCGGCCCGAACGGAAAGTTAAAGTGTCGCCCATCATTGTCCCCCATGGCCCGAACGGAACAGTGCCATTTTTAGGCTGGCAGCGAAGGTGTTAAATGAGATTTTCGAAAGATGTATAAAATGTTATCTCCTTATTTCAGGAAGTAGAGACGGATCAATTTTACAATTTCTTCCTGCCAGAGCTTAAAGGGGACGGCTACGACGGCATATTCTCGCCAAAATCTCGCGCCAAGACCATGTCGGAGTCGGAGAGGAAATACGTCGATGGATGCGCAATATTCTTCAGATCTGCCAAGTAAGTGAATATAAGTTTTTACAAGCTTCGTAACTTAGCACGAGTCTGGCTGCTACGGCGTAGCACTCGACTACGAGAAAAAATCAGAGTACATTTGCTTGTAAAAATCCGGTGTCCTTAGTTCAACCAAACATTGTACATAATCGTTTAAGGACAAAAAGCGTTATTTGGATGTAGTTATTGTATAATTATTATGATTTATATTTTCGAGACTATTTTGACATTATTGTTGTATTATTAAAAAGACATCAGAGAGCTCGTAAACACTAAGTTTATATTTTTCTTTGATACATTTTAATTTAACATAAATATTGAGAATTTATTTCATGACATATTTATTTAAATCTTTCCAGGTTCGCGCTTGTAAAAGAGCACCTTATAGAGTTCAACCAATTAGCCATGGCCAACAGTGAAGGGTCCGACAACATGTTAAATCGTGTTATGCCGAAGGACAATATAGGTTTAGCCGCTCTGCTGAAAACGAAAGAAGCTGCATGGGAGAACGGTTAGTTCAATTCCATCAGTTTATTAACCCTATTAATTACATTTAACCTCTTATCTATACTGCTGTGGTAGCTAATATTAAACTAAATTTAAAGATCCACACCTCGGTAATATAATGATTCTAATCTTTTCACTTATAATAAGTACTTACATACTACTTACTTTTCTATTAATTTGTCTTAGGGTTACACTATGCCAGAATTATTAATTTGTGACTAATACGAGCCCACTAATATAATTCATGTATAATAGAAAAAAGATAGCATATCTAGACCAAGGCCTGATTACCTCCTACGCTGACATCTGTCGCGTACGTTAGTCGAGTATACGAAAAAGTCTACGTTATATGAGGCGCCGCATTGTGATGCCGACGCGCTTTTGCTGCGTAGGTATTCATATAGATATCAGGCAAGCCTCTAGCAAGTTTTCGTTCAAAAAATCTGTCCATAACCACTTTCTCCAAATGTTATCATCTTCATGAATGGTTTCTGTTTTAAATTATCGTCATCCATCATTATATCTATCATCTTAGTATGTATTTATTTATTATATTATTTTATATATTATTTATGTATGTGTATATGTAGCTTATTTGTTTTGCCGTCGCTNTGCGCTGGTTCCGATTTTAGCCATGTTGAAAACTACATAGTTGAGCGATGGTGGCCCCCCTGTCAATGAGTTTGGTGGAACAGTTTAGTGTATGTAGGTCATCTATATGTATTGAGAAAATATTGTGCAACTTGACTCTTCATTAACTGCAGTAGTGATCACACTGACTTTTGAGGAGTTTAAAAATCAGATTGTATTTCTTTTGGCTCATTCGGAAGGCAGATATGAATCAGCATGGCACTTTCTTAGTATTTTTTTAATGTATTTTCTTTTAATTTCTGGAATAATATAAATCTGGAAATCATTTTAATCTGCAAGAGGGATATGAAAATCTGTCTGTTTTATCTTGAGATTATCTTAAAGGAGAGAACTTCGAGTCTTTTTTTTATTAACAACATTTTTTTTATCTATAACATTTTAGTAAGGCCCAGAACACACGGTGAAAACGGTTCTGAGTCTAAGGATTAGCTTACCCTAAAACTTATTGCGCGGTTCCACTTCAATATCAATATGACTCCTGTTAGAGGCAGCTTCACCTGCCTCTACTTGCGCGCGACCCTTGTTACGCTTTTTCTGACGTCACTCATGTTGTTTCCACAACACACGCTGGTAGGGTAAAAAGATTATGAGACATGTCGAGGCTCCTTAAGAGCAAAATGACGATTTGTAAGAACTATTTATTAGTCTAAACAAATAAAGAAATTTTGACTTTGACTTTGACACGCCGTCACTGGTATACTTTTCTGACGTCACTCCAACCATTTCCAGACCACTTCCCGCTGCTGGTCGAGCTGGAGATGTGTCCGGGCGCGAGCGGCAGCTCCAACGGTCTCATCGGGCGCAGGTAGCACGCGNTTAATAATTTAAAATAAGAATACAATTTACGAATTTATTTAAAGTATTTATTATTAAATTAAAAAAAATTACACTTCTAATATTATGTGTCTGGCATACATTTAGTATGGAAGCTGGAAACATTGAATTTTCAGATAGATCCAGTTTATTCTGTAACTTATTATTGGTACCGACAGCTCATTAAGCACTTTCAGGATCAGTAACCAGTTTTTTAATATCTTGTATAGTTAAGAAATAATCGAGTGAGATCACTTAACGTTTCCACCCTGTATGTACACGATAGACGTCAGCGTAAAGCGCAATACACACTGAGCCCGCCGGGCCGCCGACAAAGCCCGGCGACACAACCCGGCGGCCTGTATGAAAAGACTCATGCCGGCAACATGCGCCCGCGCGTGTTACCCGCCGACATGTTGGCGGCTTGGGTACGCCTGCGCTCAATTGCCCATTCAATTGCTCAGTGCTTGTATACTGACTGCCAAATAAATTTCTCATCTCAAGCCGCCGACCAAATTTTCCGACTTGTAATAATAAGTGAATCCGCCAACTAGACCGCCGACAAGTTGCCAACATATGTCGGCGGCCCGGTGGGCTCAATGTGTATTGCGCTTAAGAGTAAATTAAGATCAAAAATAACGATATTAACAAAAATTATAAACAAGTATTAACCAATTGAATGTGTATATTTACGTAATAAAAGATATTTCAGGTCTACCGACCGACACGGCGATGCTCGGTCAGCCTATCCTCGTGTGCACCGCACACATACACTGGGACCCCGAGTTCTGCGACGTCAAGCTCATCCAGACCATGATGCTCAGCAACGAGCTCCGGTCCATCCACGAGGACTCTGCGAGAACGCTGCGTCTGGCGGGGCAGAGGGACAACGTCCAACTGCTGCTATGCGGGGACTTCAACTCCTTACCTGACAGTGGTGAGTATGGGTGTATTTTTTTTTATCCACTACTGAGGAAGCTCTTGGCCTGTATCTCACCTGATGGTAAGTGATGATCAGGCCGAAGGTGGAAGCGAGCTTCGCCCTTAATCCTCAACCACAGAGGAACGGACGTCTGACGTCACTCGTCAGACCATGATGCTCAACGAGCTTCGGTCCATCCACGAAGACTGCGAGAACGCTGCGTCTGGCGGGGCAGAGGGACAACGTCCAACTGCTGCTATGCGGGGACTTCAACTCCTTACCTGACAGTGGTGAGTATGGGTGTAGTATGTGACGTTACACTCATCTTTGTGCTCCCGTCCATCCACGAGTGCTGAGAGAACGCTGCGCAAAAGCCGTTTAAAAAAACGTTCGAAACGTTGTTTGAGCGTCAACAATCTTCAGCAATCTTAAATTCGGACAATGTTAAGAAGGTGTATCGCCCTAACATTGTCCAAAGCTTTAGATCTCACTCATTTGAATGTTGGGTAATTGTTCCTTTTGATTCGTTACTAATTACAATCTTCACAATGTCCCCAGGCGTGGTAGAGTTCCTGTCTTCAGGCCGCGTGTCGTCCGAGCACCGCGACTTCAAGGAGCTGGGCTACGCGACCACGCTGCGCCGCATGCCCGGCTCCGAGCACGAGTTCACGCACAACTTCAAGCTCGCCTCCGCCTACAGCGAGGACATCATGCCCTACACCAACTACACGTGAGTCCAAGAGTCCCGTCTCAGGCACGTGTCGTCCGAGCACCGCGACTTCAAGGAGCTGGGCTACGCGACCACGCTGCGCCGCATGCCCGGCTCCGAGCACGAGTTCACGCACAACTTCAAGCTGGCCTCCGCCTACAGCTCGACATCATGCCCTACACCAACTACACGTGAGTCCAAGAGTCCCGTCTCCGGCACGTGTCGTCCGAGCACCGCGACTTCAAGGAGCTGGGCTACGCGACCACGCTGCGCCGCATGCCCGGCTCCGAGCACGAGTTCACGCACAACTTCAAGCTGGCCTCCGCCTACAGCGAGGACATCATGCCCTACACCAACTACACGTGAGTCCAAGAGTCCCGTCTCAGGCACGTGTCGTCCGAGCACCGCGACTTCAAGGAGCTGGGCTACGCGACCACGCTGCGCCGCATGCCCGGCTCCGAGCACGAGTTCACGCACAACTTCAAGCTGGCCTCCGCCTTTAGCGAGGACATCATGCCCTACACTAACTACACGTGAGTGCAAGATTAATGTCCCCCCATTAAATCGGTACCTCGTGACTGGGGGGCGTTCCCTTATCTGCAACCCGGGGACGCAGAAGCAGAACTGCACAAAGAGAGGACATCATGCCCTGCACAAACTACACGTGAGTGCAAGAGTCCTTTCCTCCTGGCCCACACAATAGTGGGTTACAGGTTGCCCGACAGGCTCAAATTGACGAGATCTATCGCGAGCTGGGTTTTTGTCAGTGTCGCTAAACTAATACCCACTATGGCTGAGGGACGTTCCACTATCCTCAACCTGGGGACGTGTCCGATGGCAGGCCCAAAACTGCACACAGAAAGGATGTGAAACACATGCCCAATCAATAACTACACGTGAGTTTAAAGGCTTCTTTACAACTGACATAATGATGTGACTGGCTGACTGACATAATTATGCTCTACTAAGACGAGAACTATCGTAGTTCAACTACGTATAGATCAGGAATGGGAAGAATCGTTTGTAAATCTACTTTCACTATGGGAAGGTAAAACTGAGCTTTGAAAGTAGTGAAGATTCTTTTACCTTCAGAGACTTTAGCAAGTAATTTGAAGTATCGTATGTCATTTCTGAAAAAGGGTATTAGTCACCTACGGCATAAGGCTTAATTGTCGTTGACAGGCAAATAAGATGTATTCGCATGCTGACCTGAAGCTATCCTCCAATGTTCATTTATCTCAACCGTTACCAACATTCTAGACTAGACCTTATAGTTCTGTCTCAAATAATTCCAAACCCAACTTTATCATTCCAGATTTGACTTCAAGGGCATCATAGACTACATATTCTACAGCAAGCAGACGATGACGCCGCTCGGGCTGCTGGGCCCGCTCTCACAGGAGTGGTTCCGCGAGCACAAGGTCGTCGGCTGTCCGCATCCTCACATACCTTCAGGTACATAACCTCTCAAAAAACATATACAGTAGAATTTCGATTATCCGGACTTCGATTATCCGGACTCATTCTTCACGGTTTCTAATTACCGATTTAGGGTCTGGACCTATAAAAACGGAAGGCGCCGCCACCGTAATACGGTACAGACTTCGTCTTAGTTCATTGTTAAAAGAAATGATCCATCCAATGGTCTAAAATTTAGATTTTAACCCCCTTACTAATAAAAAGTTACACAGTTGTTGATCACTGTTTTAAAATGACATTTCCATACTAAACGTCACTTTAAAACACTGATCACCGAGCGTGTAAGTTTTATTAGTAAGGGGGTTAGAGTCTAAATGATGAATTGAAAACCCTTTCTATTGTAAAAAGTTAATTATTGTTTGATTTTACTTTGAAATCGATTATCCGGATTTTCGATTATCCGGAATACCCCTGGTTTTAATTGATCCGGATAATCGGGATTCTACTGTAAACCCAATATACTGAACTGTCCCACCCGTAACATTGACAGGGAGGCGACACCGTCAACACCGGATCGCTGCACACAGGTGAAATTTGCTCAAAAGTTGGCCAAAATTGCGTTAAGTGTGTTTATGCCTATACAGGGTGTTAGGTAAATGGGTATATGAGCCGAGACCAGCCCATGTTAACATACTCATATAAATACTATAGTGGTGTCAGAAAGTCTGGGAAAGGTACCATTATTGAGTAATCAGCTNACGAGTATGTGACGTCACATTCATTAGATCATGATGTTGAACGAGCTCCGATCCATCCACGAGGACGCTGCGTCTGGTGGGGCAGAGGGACAACGTCCAACTGCTGCTATGCGGGGACTTCAACTCCCTACCTTATAGTGGTGAGTATGAGTCTAGTATGTGACGTCACACTCATCAGACCATTGTGCTCCGGTCCATCCACGAGTGCTGAGAGGACGCTGGGCAAAAGCCTTTTAAAAACACGTTCGAAACGTTGTTTGAGCGTCAACAATCTTCAGCAATCTTAAATTCGGACAACGTTAATAAGAAGGTGTGTCGCCCTAACATTGTCCGAAGATTTCGATATCACTCATTTGAATTTTGCATTGTCCCTTTTGATACGTTACTAATCACAATCTTCACAATGTCCCCAGGCGTGGTAGAGTTCCTGTCTTCGGGCCGCGTGTCGTCCGAGCACCGCGACTTCAAGGAGCTGGGCTACGCGACCACGCTGCGCCGCATGCCCGGCTCCGAGCACGAGTTCACGCACAACTTCAAGCTCGCCTCCGCCTACAGCGAGGACATCATGCCCTACACCAACTACACGTGAGTCCAAGAGTCCCGTCTCAGGCACGTGTCGTCCGAGCACCGCGACTTCAAGGAGCTGGGCTACGCGACCACGCTGCGCCGCATGCCCGGCTCCGAGCACGAGTTCACGCACAACTTCAAGCTGTCCTCCGCCTACAGCGAGGACATCATGCCCTACACCAACTACACGTGAGTGCAAGATTAATGTCCCCCCATTAAATCGGTACCTCCATCATGAGTGAGGGGCGTTCCCTTATCCGCAACCCGCGGACGCAGAAGCAGAACTGCACAAAGAGAGGACATCATGCCCTGCACAAACTACACGTGAGTCCAAGAGTCCTGGCCGAGGGGCCCCACTCGAATGTGGGTTACGGGTTGCTTGATAGGCTCGCCGAGTTGACGAGACCTGTCGAGCGCTGGGTTTTTGTTCGTGTTGCTAAACTGATACCCACCATGAATGGGGGGCATTCTCTTATCCGCAACGTGGGGAGACGTCTGATTGCAGACAAAACTGAACACGCGAATTCTAAGGCTTCTCTGTAAAATAATATGACGTATGTTCTTAGACACTAGTTCTGAAATGTAAATATCGAAGGTTACCGAGAAAGCGATTTACTGAGCGTGGTGCCTACTTAAGCTGACTACACTATTAGCCAGAGCAATTTTACACGAATAAAGAGCCGCCTTTGAGTGCTCATGCGCATAAATTCCAAGCAAATGATAATTTCAAATGCAACTTTATTTTTCCAGATTTGACTTCAAGGGCATCATAGACTACATATTCTACAGCAAGCAGACGATGACGCCGCTCGGGCTGCTGGGCCCGCTCTCACAGGAATGGTTCCGCGAGCACAAGGTCGTCGGCTGTCCGCATCCTCACATACCTTCAGGTACATAATCTGTCAAAATACATGTTGCTGGCAGTTTGGCCAGCAATCCTCTTTTGGTAATTGTTTATGGTTTTTTACTTTTTTTTATTATTGTTTTTAGGTTTTTGAAGTTGTTTTTTGTACGCTCTGGTGTTCTAATGTTTTGAGCAATATACCTACTGTTTTGGCCCTTTTTTGGAGTTTCCTTGCTTCTTGCATATTAATATCACCACCGGCAGGCCTATCTATCTATACAGTCCACTCCATCGTTTTTAACAATACATATAAACCCAATATACTGAACTGTCCCACCCGTGACATTGACAGGGAGGCGACACCGTCAATACCGGATCGCTGGTTCCGATTTTAGCCAAGTTGAAAACTACATAGTTGAACGATGGTGGCGCCCTCTTGTCAATGAGTTTGGTGGGACAGTTCAGTGTAGGTCATCTATATGTGTTGAGAATATATCGTGCAACTTGACTCTTCATTAACTGCAGTAGTGATCACACTGACTTTTGAGGAGTTTGAAAATCAGGTTGCATTTCTTTTGGTTCATTTGGAATTGGAAGGTAGATATGAATCAGCATGGCACATCCTTAGTATTTTTTTTATTGTATTTTCTTTTAATTTCTGGAATAATACAAATCTGGAAATCATTTTAATCTGCAAGAGGGTTATGAAAATCTGTTTGTTTTCTCTGGAGATTATCTTCAAGGAGAGAACTTCGAGTCTTTTTTATCAACAACAAACATTTTTCTTGTATCTATAACATTTTAGTAAGGCCCAGAACACACGGTGAAAACGGTTCTGGGTCTAAGGATTAGCTTACCCTAAAACTTATTGCGCGGTTCCACTTCAATATCAATATATGACTCCTGTTAGAGGCAGCTTCGCCTGCTTCTACTTGCGCGCGACCCTTGTTACGCTTTTTCTGACGTCACTCATGTTGTTTCCACAACACACGCCGCCACTGTTATTCCTTTCTGACGTCACTCTAACCATTTCCAGACCACTTCCCGCTGCTGGTCGAGCTGGAGATGTGTCCGGGCGCGAGCGGCAGCTCCAACGGTCTCATCGGGCGCAGGTAGCACGCGTCCCCGCGCGCCCGCCGCCGCCCCGCGCGCCGCGCCGCCTCGCCCCGCACGCCCGGGGGGGCCGCTGCTACCGCGCGCACGTGACGCCTGCGCCGGCGCCGCGACACGCCGCCGAGACTGACGGAACACGACGCACCCGTCTAAAGGTCTGTGAGCACGTACGATTGCGGCCAATGACCCCGAGATACCCATCCTTATGCCGGTTGCAGACCAAGAGCTAAGCTAAGTTAGTTTCGTTTAGTTCGCATAGCTGACGCAGTTTCCCATAGAATTGGCATAGTTTTCAGTCTACACACGACTATGGGAAACTGCGTCAACTATGCGAGCTAAACGAAACTAACTTAACTTAGCTCTTGGTCTGCAACCGGTATTAGGCAGGGTACTCGCCTGCCATGTAGCGTGTATCGTAACTAACCTTCAAGTGAGTCAACCTTCATCGCGTATCTGGCTGCGAGCTTCTGAATCCTACTGCGAGCCGCCTCTGTGCTCGCAGTGATACCGCCACTCGGCGGGTCGCTGCGATCTCCCTGCAAACCACGCGCGTGCCTATGTACTCACTTGATACAGTATCTGATACATTACATGCATACATTACACGGCTAGATGAGTACCCTGCTTTATCGCTGTTAATCATGTTGCTGTCGCGCTCGCACACTCACTGCGGGCGTCGCACAGTTGCGACAGCAATATAATTACGCGCGAGCGATGAGGATGTGTTTGGGGTCATTAGACGAAATTCTACGTGCTCAGCGACCAGACTATAGTCCCGGTCGTCGTTCGTTATCGATTCACTGCGGCGAATAGGGATGTCATGCGATTGGAAATTGGAAGTCTGATGCTACAAGTTGTTTGGGTATGTTGTTTTGGATTTTGAAGTAGTCAGATTTTTAATTTAATACTTAAGTTACGCTTACGTAGTAAATAATTTGAGTTTTGATTGAAAATTTTGTTTCCGATTGTATGACATCAATATTCCGGTTTTCGTAATCAGAAAACGCTGCCGAAATCAGTTTACCGATTCGAATGAAAATGTGACTCGATGGACGGGTGCTCGCGGCTCAAAGTGATACCCACTGATCTTCGCGGGAGCGCGGACCGCGGCACCAGCGGACCCTCCGACGCCTATCATGTTACGAGTGAATGCTTGTGTGACTTGTGTCTGCTTGACGATTAGAATATTCAATTAACGAAACAATAGTGTCAGTAAAGTGAACCCACGAACGATACAAGATTAGCGGTGTACAACATGCCTAGCAATAATAGAGATGATAAAGCTAACTGGAATAAGTGTAATAGGAGTCCAGTCTTCTTCGTTGTTATAGTAAATTGTGAAATATTAAATGTATATGTGCAAACAACACTCAAGATTAAAATACATCGATATGTTTACGCATATCAAAGTTTTTTGCCGATAATACATTTCTCATAACGGTTACTCTCAATAATGTAACGTTACCGACGTTGTATATCCGCATAACAGTTTGTTTAGTGTACCTAATCTAATGTCTATTTCTTTTTACGCTCTTTTTACTAGCTTGCGTCGTCTATTAAATTGTCCAACACCTGTTTAGGAAAATTTTTATGAAGCGAATAGTCAATTTTATAGGAGATGTTATCGAGTATCAACGTGATAGGTTGAAGGAAACGGTCGTGACTTTGGTTATGTCGCAGGGGCTGTGATAGGGTTCACTTCAGGCATGCACAATGACTGCGTTCCTTATAAGTTTCGAAAGTTACATACCGCGGAAGATCAAAAGTACCAGTCGACATTATGCCTGTGCCTCTGATCAGTGCTGCTACGTAGTGAGCATATCACTTGCGAAAGTGTGTGGGTTTCCATCAGAGGGCGTGGTCTCGTCGTGTGCGAGCGAGAAGGCGAGCGAATGTTCCGAACGTCGTTGTCTCTTCACTGGATGTTAGTACGGTAGTAGTGCGTGTGCTGTTTATTGTTGACTTGTTACACCCGGACTTTTGTTTTGCTCAACTGTAGTCTTTAGGGACGCGAAGTTCGCGCTTCGAACCATGCTATGTTCGTTTACAGCAGGCGCTGTAAAGTTTGACTCGTTTTATCGCATGACACGGTTGTCCAGTGAACAGAGAACGGTTTATTGGCGATCGAGTGGAACGTAGAGTAAGTTCAAGATTCAATTCGGGTTAGATAGAGTGGTTTCAACGATGATACGTGTACTTGTTAGTATAGATGTGATGTATGTCTGTGCAATCATAGTTTTCATTCACACTATTCGTAGTGTTTTAAAGTGAATCTTTATATAAAATAAGTAATTGACGATCGATTCTACAAATTAATGTGAATAAATAAAGTATATTTGGACTTACGCTTATTGTGTCAATAAATTATAAATCGGAGATATAAATATTTTTTCAGTCTAGTTTGTCGGCAGATTTACGCTTAGTTTCAATGTATACTATACAGTTGAGGAATACTTCGAAAATCTTTGAAGTCCGACGGTGAATTTAAAATTGACTCAGTGGTTCCGTAGTTCTTATCTATTTATTATAGCAATAGAAGTAGCTTATTACACGTGCCTACGGATTCCGCTGGCAACTTTTATACTTCCCCGTCGGCAGCGTGTTTCGTACAGTTGTGGTTGAGAAAATATCGTTAACGTCCTAGCGTGATGAAGTGAAAGTATGTCAAACGTCCATTTACCAATTTAGTGTTAAAATTCCTCCACTGTATATTATTTAGGTGATAATTTGTCTGGGATTATGATGCAATGTGGATTGCCGCGAGCCGGCCAGCCGCCACGCTGTTAGAGCCGACTGGCTCGGTCGCTCGCTGTGTGCAGGGATCAGTGAGACGATCACTGTACCTACAATTTTAATATATTATGACTAACGACCCTCCCATTGACCTTTCGATTACAATTTTAATTTTCGCGTTACTTTCTTGACTCCTAAACTAATAGTTTTCAATACTGTGCCAAGTCTTTTTAACTACTCGTTACTCAAAGTTTTTCTGCCGATTTAACACGTTTTATCTTTGCACTTCGATTGAGATCTATCATCTTTTATTTTATTATTCTTGAAATCCATGTTTTCTTCTATTCGCACCGTTTGAGCAATATTGTATTATTTCTCAATATCGATATATCCGAGGCGCAATTTATAGGTACTACTCGGGGCCGGGTATGTAAGATATAGCTGTCGAAAACATTATATATAGATATTGGAGTTATTTTTGATACTTAATTAACTATTTAAAGTTTATAGAAGTACCAACACTGCCTAGGAAGTGACATCACTTGCGTGCAATATCCCAAGTGATATGTTAGATGTTAATATCTTTAGAGCATTGTTACATTTTAGTAAATACTCGTGCGATCGTCTGTTATTGTACACAGGAGCACAAGGTGGTGTGTAGTTTAATATTCACTTGTTTCTTCGTTCAGTCGTCGTTGTGATGGTTGTTCTGTGTCAGGAGGCGAGCGACCGCGGGTTGTAGGCAGGATCGCGCTCACTGGTCGGCGGTAGGGTAGTGGCCATGTTCCGTGGTGTAGTAGACTCGATGACGTTCGGTTCGATTCGATTGCGCGTTCTACCGCGTATAGAACAAATGTACGGCGGGCGGACGGTTTTAGGTTAATATCGCATCGTGTGTCCAACAAACTTCTCAGCGAGACATGATTTCACTGATTAACAATCTACCCCCTTCCAATTCTTCCTTGTTAGTGAACGTCTGCGTACGTAAGTGGAGAGTTAGTTTAGTGTAAGTCTTGATTTTTTTTACAAACGGTACCCTTCGGCGGCCGTCGCGGCCGGGCATCACCTCTAGTTGTAAGTAGGATTATAATGTGACGGTCGAGACCCTCCCATTCGCTAAAACCATTTCGGATTCACAAATTTATCATTAGCTAGTTAGAGTTCGTAAAAGTCAGTATTCGCCTCCTATCGTGTCGTCCGATCAAAAATTACGATACGACGTTAGTTGCATTTTATTTTTAGTTTTAGTAAGTTTTTTATTGATGTTTCGGTGGTGCCCGACCGCGAGCCGTCTTCCCTTAGAAATAGCGGGTAGCATACTGGCGTAGTACAAATGAAAGTGTGAGTGTCGGTATTATACTAGTGCGCTCCGGCGTCGGCCAATGTCAGCGGCGCCGTCGCTCCAGGGGCGCCCGGGTGGACCGTGGCGTTTCACGTTCTTATGAAATTTGTGTAGACTAACAATAATAGCTTTTATAGTATGTATGTGTTGTTATGAAAATAGTAAAATGAATTATATATGAATAGTTCCCGTTTTAATAAATATATTAGGAATTTATTAAGTGTAACTTTATAAATATTATCTCACATTGTCGTTGTCACTTTTTGCTGTCATGGAAAGCGACCCGTCACGGTCCACCATCGGTCGCGCCCGCGCGGCGCCCAGCGTTAGACTAGTCGGGCCGAGTGAGCCCTCGTTGTGAAGCGTTAGTTGTCTCATCGGAATCTAGTGATATTTACGAAAAGCATATAACTATATTATTCTTACAAAATATTTGGACCATTGCATAGTTGTATCTACGCTTATTTTGTCTATTTTGTCCTCTCCATTGGAATTCCTTATATCGAATAATTTTGAATATTTTTTATTCCGTGTATTATATTATTATTATGTATATCAAACGATAGGTGCTGTTGTATTTAATTTTTAATGTTACTAACGCGATTGTGATAGGGATACGTCTCTCTTGTAATCTATCAGATGAATTGTGAAAAAATTAAGCCAAATCATGAAAAAGGGTATATTGAATTATTACTTTTAGGATAAATGGAGTTAAAATGAAGTTTTATACTAATCAAATTTTACTACTGACGCTGTATAATTTTTCTAAGTACAGATAGATTTTAAAGTCATATCATGATGGTCTTGTTCTAGTAATTGTGTAAATTAATGTAGGTTTTTAAGACTGTTGCGAGCTCCGCGGCTGAAGCGCGTCCGCGGCGAAGCAAAGCACAAACTAGCACGCGTAGGGTTGACACTGTTTCCACGCGTGGACACGTTTCAGCTGCGGTTTTCCAATTTGCCTTCATTGTGCTCTACGATTTATTGTTAAATTATAATTTGGTACGTCTTTTTAATAAAACATTGTCTTCGAACTCTTAAGCACTTACATAGTGATTTATTGCATTTACGATATGAAAGCATAATAATGTTTAAGGCTCCTACAGCTGCCTCAGAACAACCGCAATAGCAATGCTATAGAAGAGAAACAATTAAGTGGTAAGATTTGGCTTCACCGGACCTGATTACATTCTGAGTTATACTTACGCTTTAATTCAGTTGACAGACGGACAAGTACACACCGGTGTTATATAGTTGACTAGAATCAGCAGTATTGAGTAACCAATAGAACACAGTACGATGCGTAAGTATCGCTTATGAATAATGAGAGCTTTATTGTAACAAGTTTATCTTATTTGTAGTAGAACATATATGATCTCTTTATTTTTAATAGAATTTTGATGGACATTTTTACTTAATAGTTATAGCTGTGTGTAGTTTTGAAATAGGATTTTATATTATCGCACATTACGTTTGTTATACGCTCGTTGACAAAGGAACTACAGACAAACATCTGTGTCTCAAATTATAAAAAGCACTGAACATTTCAACCTTAAGTGCAATTATTAACGTAAAAAAATATCTGTGTAGTTTCTTTCGTCGCGGGTTTTCACTTAACAGTTTAATTATATCAGTTAATTCACGTGTAAAACTGATGCCATCCAAAATTGTTAAATTTCACTTTCATTCTGCATAGTTGAAACTTCTCTCGAGCACAATTTTAAGGTCCACTTCAGTACATCCACTTGTTATTCCGCTTGCGATTTCTTTTATTATTGTACATAATGTATTATATTTCATTTCCACATGTAAATATGTGACTATCGAAAAAATAATTCGTTTCATTTCCAATGTTTGGCAGTCACGCGAGAAGTTTCATCCATGCCCGTGTGCGTTATTTCGGATAGTGATTTGATGAATTTACCACGAGAAGCCTTCATGTTGTCTGTACATTTAATTTGTAAATATGTAATTTCGATAACAATTAATGCTAAACAACGAGCGAGCCGTCGCATTCTGTCAGCCATTTGGACTTCTGCGCACACTTAACATCGATAGCAATGGAACCGCTTCGCGTAAGGTGTATCACAACAGACATTCCACAGGCCCAATCGAATTAGCTCAATGCAAAAGACTGTTTGAGACTTTAAAAAAATAATAATGATATCATGATATTTTCTGAAGCACCTTAACGACTTTACAAAATGTGTTTTATGGTGATTTATTGATAAGATCCAATGTATAACTCACTAGTATGTAAGGACAAATGCTTTACGTCACTGTGATAGACAATACAAATTTACCTGAGAGACACCATAGGCATTTATGAGAAATTTAGAAAAACGTCTATTAAATGGGAATGATACAAACTCTCAGCAGGAGGGTGCGGCGGTTGATTATGTTGCGATTCAAAACATCCTAAACCGCCAGGAGGCACAATTTTTTTATTAAATAAATGTTTTATCAAACATTTATTCATTTATAAGTAATTTTCCAAACAGGGATCAATACAATTTAAATAAAATCAAGAATTTAGATTATCTTTATAAAACTTTAACTATAAGAAAAAATATACATTTAGCAAAATTTCATACAACCATTTCATTACGAGGCTAAATCTTTAATGCTAGGAATTTTAAAATTAAACTGTATGCAGCTCATTTTCGTACTTGTTACTGGAAATTATTCAGGACATAAGTAAATTAAATTATTGTATAAATAAACTTTTGTTGTTTTTTGTTTCTCATGGAGGTTTTATGAGAATATTTGAGTCGCAACAAAATCGATCGTCGCACAGTTGAAATATGTTTCAAAGTACAAAGCGTATGTGCAGAAGTTCGGTGTCGGCTCGCAAGTCGAGCGCGCGTGTGTGCGTGAGGGGCGGCAGTTGTAGTGCGGCCGCGGCCCGCGTCTCGCTGTTCTGTTTGTTGACACATTATGTATAATTGAATGAATCAAATTATAAAAGAATATGAATTTTAACCTGAGTTTTATTCGTAACACAACTTTCTAATGAGGGTTTCCTTTTGCGCTCACCAGTTAGCGGCCCTAGCGCATCATAGGACCTTACTTCACAGTGGCGCCAACCTGGTGATAGATTGCAAATGCGGTAGTGCTACCACTTGAACGGCTCACCAATGAGGGTTTTCGCGAATGAAAGATCCGCTAGCTGGCGGGACGTGGATGTGGGGTCTGACTGCTGCGTGATTGGTGGATTTTGACATACCTGTCAATATGTCAAAAATAACCAATCATGCAGCATTTGGACCTCGCGTCTACGTATTGCCATCTGGCGGATTTTTCATTCGCGAAAACCCTCAATTCACCACAAGCGAGAACCAAGACCTTATTTGCCAGTGGCGCCAACTGGCGAGTGCAATAAGGAATTCAAAGTTTCAGCCAAAATAAAAAACAGTTGAAGATAATATTTACAACAATTTATTCTAAACAATCCTAAACTCTACAATCTATTACTAAATTAGATATATTTGAACACAACATCTTGGAAGCTGTCTACAGTCTGCAACTCCAGGGTGACTGGGCATTGCAGCCAGTTGGCCAGGAGTTCCTCGGTGTAGCCCAGAAGGAAGTACATTTTGGTGGGGGACACTACCCTCCTCACAATGGCTGCTACTCTGATGTGGTTGAACTGGCGTTTTATTATTACCTGGGGACAATTGACATTGCCATTTTATTTGTAATAAGTATTGCAGTTTTAAATTTTATTTTTATGTACAAAGGAATGGTTCTCAAAAGAATGAAGCAAAATATTGAAGAAGTAACAGACTGCAAACACCACTGTATTTTTTGCTGGCTACAGCTTAAATCTCCAATATCCTTCTAGTGATGGTTGGGTCCGCAACAAAATAATTTGTAAACCAACTAAAAGTGAATTTAAAAGTTTGAAGACATTATTTTATTTAACATACCTCACTACACATGAGTCCGTGCCATGTACCAGTCATGAATCTGCGGATGAACTCATCCTCCACAGCTGTCTCAGATCGACGGAGGCCATCCTTAAGGTTTGCTGTAACAAATAATGTAAATAAGTCTCGAGTATGTAGACTAGAATGGAAAATTGTTTGTTCTGTTTCATTTTAATTAGTAGCAAGTTAAAATAATGCATACATGTGTTCCAAGAGTTCCAGGTTTTTCTGTGAGCGATGTAATGAGGTGGGTTGGCCATTTCATAAGTCAGAGGTCGATCGCGCTTCTTCGTAATGCGGTATTTGCCAGAAACCACTCGGCATAGAGCAGCCGACGTATGGATTTGAGAAGACACTGCAGACCATGATGCTAACTGTCCTTTAGCACTTAGAAGTGGCTGGAACACAGGTAATAAACAAAAGTAATATTCGTAGAGGTTAGAGACGAATACCTAGAATAAGTGGTATCTCAGGATACATTTTACATTTACCTGTGCAATTTTTATTACAGAACTATTCATTTTTATGTGAAGTACAATAATAAATCACTGCTAACAAATTGTACTCAACTTTACTAAAAATAAATATCACTTTTTAGGTTATGTTATTTTTGACATTGACAGTTGCGTTCAGAAATTACTGACGGCCGATTGACAGTGGTAATGTTTTAAACGTTCGAAAATTCGAAAACAGTTTTTATGTTAGTCCGATTCTGAAAATATTTAAAGGCACTGGGTCTCTATCAGAAGGAACTCTAGGGGTGGAATCTCCATAGGCGTGGGTTAACGGGCAAGGAGATAATATCTTGGATGATGGTCGACAATCACTTTTCCTACAATTTAACGTTCCACCAAACTCAACACGCTTTCAAAGATAATCTCGCAGCCGCCTGCTCACACTTGACATGACACAACTGATTGACAGTTATCTTTTTCTGCGCATTAGTCAGGTGTTACGTTTAGGAATCACAAACCTTCTGCTCTACAGATTTCTACAGATAACATAATATTCAGATTGGTANAAATACTCAGATACGTCTTAATAATCAGATATAATATTCTAGTTTGACTTGATAGCTTTACGTAACTTTGGTTGATAATATTATTTGTATGTATTTCTTTTCAAAATATCAAGCCGACAACATGATCATTTTATGGTTTTGTTATGAATAGGTATATACCTACATCAATGTTAGGGGAGACGAGGTGAGTTGTAACAGAGGATAATTGTGACATTGTCGACTGCCGACCTGCCGAGCTCATAACAGTGCGTGTTTTTAGTTCAAGTCGCGAGTTAAATTTATACGCGCTGTTGTGAGCTCGCTGATTGTTTATAGTTTACCAAAAATCGAAAATGTAACAACTCTCCTCGGTCTCCCCTAAGTAGCTACAAAGTTTATAGAACTCACGGTCTGTGTGTGTATAGTCTACGTAGCTACATTGCAAGGTAATTAGATTCCCACCTAACAATACAAAAAAAAATTACCAAATTAATCTACCATTTTATTGTGTTTTTATTAGCCATTTGAATTCTATCGATTCTACGTAGCCTACGCACAAACTTCACGTCGAGATTAATATGAAGAAAAACAAAACATACACTATGTCGATATGCGACGTAAAAAATGTTTTATTCATTTTCATTTTAATACCGTTATGTAAAGGTAAGTTTCATATTAGTAATTAAAATAATATTTATCAACATAATTAATTTATGACAACACTTTTAAGCTCAACTTATCAATAAAAAGGAAAAGAGCATGGCTGTTAATGAAATCATCCAGAAAATTTATAATTTAACATCGACATCTTTACAAACTGGTACCCCTAATGAAAAGAATGAAATTCTAAAAAGCATTGAAACCAAACTGAAAAAATCGTCAGAAGCATTAGGTTCTAAAGCTAGCAAATATGTGGCACTAATTATGAAAGGTTTACAAGTAATGTCGTCCAACAATACAACTTCTAGTCCAAAACCAAATGGCGAAGTTATTGCTAATCTAAGAAACGACCATAAAAGTGAACCGATAGAACAAGCTACAAACAGTGACCTTGTGAAGAAAATTGCTTCAAAAATATTTAAACTGGCAGAGAAACATTTCAGACGTGCCAAAACAGATGAAGATAAACAAAAAATCATAGAAAATATCAGGCAAAAAGTTATGGAAACCGCAAAACAAAAACATAACTTAATTCATACTAAACATGATGAAATTAAAACATACACCGACCTTATCACGCGTGGCATGGAGCTAATGATGGATAAAATCAATCAGAAGAAAAGGAGGATGATCATGGAGTTTGTCAATAGTAAAGTGCCTACTGATCAAGACAATGAAAAAAATATTGAGCGAGAATATAATCAATTGGATGATCCCTCCAATAATATTGATTATGGACCCTTAGAAAATGAAAAACTCGATTTAAGCAAGAATAATGGTTTTAAACCCACTGCAGTGCCGTACTTGATTAACCCGGCATTAACGACTACGTTTTCATGTGAACATATCTTCAGTCAAACTTGTATAGAAATTAAATCACTAAATGGATTTACGTGTGCTGATAATGGCATAACGCTTCCTCTAGATAAATTATGTAATGGAGTCTCTGACTGTTCTGATGGATCCGATGAACGAAATTGCGTTAATGAAGGTGGCGAATATTTTCGTTACTTAGTTTAATTTCTTTAAATGTATCTTGGCGATAACAATATATTTCAATTTCAGCTATCGACCGTGTACACCGTGCCAGCACAATCATGTCGCACATTGAGAATTATCTTTCACGGAAGTGTGTAATGGACGAGGATAATGCATTACTAATGAAACAAAACGGAGTTTTATACGAAGTTCTACAAAGAGAAGTCGGTTTCATAAAGAAATATAAAGACATGAATCACCAGGATAACGTTTCTGGAGATGTGTTTACTTTCAAAAAAACTTTAAATGAAGTCGCTATTGTTATTAAAACATTAGCTGTTGCTCTCGATACGTCTATATGTGAACGGTATTCAAATAGAAGAAGAGTCGGAATCATGGGCAATATTTATAGTCCTGATACAGCAGGTTTAGATGAATCCTCTCATAAACCTAAAATTTATCTGAAGAGCTGCAAATGTCGCGGCTCTTTTTGTGCCAACGTAACCTGTCCTGAAGTGTGCAAACGCGTCTGCTGGCATAAGCATACATTGGGTAAATGGAGTTGCCATGCAGTGGACGAGTCCACTGCCATACCATTAGATATGGTTTGCGACGGTAAACTTGACTGTTACGATGAATCTGATGAAAGTGGTTGCAACCCCGGTATGTAATGCGACTTAACTTGCTCTATAATGTTTTCAGAAAGTGTCTCCTTACTAAAGCTATCGAACATGTTGCATTCTAGGTATCGGTCCAGCCAAATTTGAAGCTAATCAGTTATTCCAAAAGGTTCTAAAATTAGTGGAAGCGAAGACTAATGCAAAAGAGTATTTGGATGTTAAAAACAAATTGCTATCATTACGAAATTCCATAAAAAAATTGCAGATGGAGGCGGTTAAACCTAAACTCGATTTGATTAATGTTAAAAATGCAAGGGACATTTGTTTTGCTTCGTTATCTTCCATTTACGATCATATGGTGGAGAAAGCGTATGGTATTGAGGATTTGGAAGACACACACTTGTTTTTCCTAACTGTGAATGAAGACTTGATGTCAGCTTTGAAACTATTGCACACCGGCAATGAGAAAATTATAACACCTAGTGGGTGTTACTGTAGAAACGGGACCTGTGCCCAGACTAAGTGCACAAAAGCCTGCATTCGATCGTGTTCGGTAGAGCATAAGCTTACCAGATACAAATGTAAAGGGAATGTTAACAATAACATATCCGTATCTATTGATAAACTTTGCAATGGAAAGGCTGAGTGCCCTCTTGAAGATGATGAAGCTGAGTGCAGTTCTGGTGAGATAATGGTTGCAATTTAAAATTATCTGTTGTAGGTTGTTTTCAAAACCGATTTTATTCGATTACAGAGGTATGTAGAAAACACCATTTAGTGCTGCTGCGACATAGCATTCGCGATGTGGGGGAAGCTCACAAAGGGACCTCTTTAGGAGAAGCACTTCGCACTTGGAAAACTAAGGTATGTAAATAAGTTGGTTATGTTCATCAAACTCTACATAGTAGGTATTACTTACGAAGAACCTAATAAGTTAATAGTTGCAATAATTAAAGTTAGGAAGCGACATCTGAAATATAAAAGACGCTTATTCTGATCTGATTATGTCATTTATTTTTTATCAGGTACTTTCAACATTGAAGATAGCAGAAAACAATTATCGACCTACGAGAATTATCTTGCGGGACATCATTAATGACGTTCTTCGTGATCTGGCTCTAACCTACGCCACTGTTGAGGAGACTCGGAGGAACCAAGGATACTTGTTCAAGGAGTTCTTCAAAGTATCTCAACTCGTTATGGGAGCAGTAAAATCTTGTGGGCAATAATATTAATTTATCATAATCATTTCACTACCGGTATCTGTATTTCTACAGCTGAAACCTATTTAGTAGGTTAAAACGAGGAATCAAATTCAAGAAAACTAATATCGCTTTTCATCCGGAATAGCATATCAGTATTCAGTACATCTATGTGCAAATTATTTTCATGTCCTTGCTTTCAAATCTTTAGTCCTTGATACTTATGAGGCTACTCTACATTGTCCAAGAAATACTTAGTACCAGAATCATAATCACACATAAGGTATTTTACAAACCTATTTAAATTGTACATTACAAAGAAATAAATACTATATTTGGGTGAATTTCAACAAGTGCATATTTTTGCCTANGTTCTGTTTTGATCTTCAGCTAAAAAAATACATATTGTAAGAAATCAAGGATGTGGACACTGCACCAAAATTAGAAACGCTTAGTTCAATTATTTTTTGTCGAATTTGTAAAAGAAAATACTCATTAATAATGTTGTCCTCAAAATGGAACCTCTGTGTATTTTCGTGTAAAAAAAAATCAAAGTTCTATGTCATAAAAAACATATGATTTTCAGCTACGCCGCTCAAAAAATGTGTTTGGGAAATTGACCCATTTACAAAAACTGTTTAAAATTTTATTTCACTAGATTTTCCGTCATAATGTTAATTCCAGAGCAAATAATCATTATTTTACATAGTGATCAACTAGGAAAGGTGTGACAAAATTTACCAAAAACTTCTTCAGCAATTGATAATGAGTTCCAATTAGCTTGAGTCATTTGGTACTAACGTAATGCTGATTATTAACTCTTGATTTCTTTCGTTTAACAAATTAAAGTAGACACTTGGAGGATGGCGCCACTTCCATATAAAATTCAACGTTTACAGTCAAAATGTATTAACATTATCGTAGCTCCAAACTTCACCGAGTGTCAAGTCACGTTTGCGAATGGCTAACATAAAATTGTAGTGAGGTGTGTCTGTGTGTCAGTTTGTTTGCAGATCACAGCGAGACAACATGGCAGGTGAGTTGATAACGTTGATAAGAGTGCATGATAACCTGAAAGTGCTAGAAAATGTACGTGGCCACAGCGACGTGTGATGTAGTTTCGCAAGAATGTTAATTGTTTCAGTATTTGCATGATTTCAGTAACTTATTTATAATGAAAACACTGAATTTCCATCTTTCGACGTGTCTTGCTCATTAATTAACCAAATTCTTTGTTTTACGTAGCAGAATAAATGCATGCACCATACCGCTGTACTAACTAATTAATCGTTGTTTAAAATAGTAGGAATCATAAAAGTTTTTAATTGATATTGTGTGTGCTTAAAACCTTTGAATCTGTTGGCTTCTTTTCTAAACTACTTTTCTACTTACAGTGTTTTTGTAGGTACTTAGTAGTTCTCAAAAGATAGGATTTTTCTCTCTACACAAGACAGATGTAGAGCATTTTCATGTAAATTATTAGACACGAGCAACTAAGTAGTTAGGTAGGTACTTACATGAATTCTGCATTAGTAATATATTGCCTTGGTCTACTCCTTTTCAATTCTCACAATAACCAAGTAGAATAACAGAGATTTTCAATCTTGAAATCGTAAAATCATGATTTTTTAAAATTTGTTTTGGCCACTCTATTTAACGTAGTGTTTTGCCTAGAAAATCAATTTCTTACCCCGAACAATATACAAATACAGAGCATTTATTTCGCATTTTAGAAACAATTAAAATTGGAAATAATATGCCTAAAACTTAATTATGTTAGATTTTTTAGATATCAAGTGATGTTTATCAATTTTCAGGATATCTATTTTAGTCTGAAATTCGATAGTGTAATCAATCGTAGGAACCATTTCACGACAAAATGTTTTCCACTTTTTCGACTCTATCTGTACGATTACGACTATCGTCTTGTGCATATCAAATTATATGAGCGAGGTAATCATCGCAATGATAATGTTTACCTATCTATTTTTACACACCTAATAAGTAGATACGTTTATCCAATCGCCATGAAAAATTCGTGGAAAACAAAATCAACTAATCGCATTTTTGTAGATAGGTACGAGTATGTTTATCAGCTAAGTAACAAATACCTAAACTGTGACAAATGACAGCAGTTAATAATGATTAATCCATAAAGATTACTGTAACACATTATGAAGGTGAATAAAATGTTATAGTTAATATGTTATAATAAGCGTGAAAAGTTCGAATACCTTTTTAATCTTGCTCAATCGCATTCTTACAATTTTAGATGTCTACATCTATTTTATAGTCTATGAAACCAGGCTATTTGTTTACGTTTTAAAAGAACACTACCTTAATTATTAGCCTTGCTATAACATCTGAAGACCTGAATGCTGAAGCCTTGTTACTTTACCTACTTTATGTGCATTTTGTATCTTGGTGAGTATCTCTACATTAACGTGCTAGGCAGCTTTAACTCTTAAGAGGACAATCGTCGCAATAAACAATGAGCTGTTAAACAAACATTCAAGCCAAGTATTGTCACAAGTGCAACGAACGTCATTAAGTACTTATTACAGGTAGGACTTCTATTTACAGAGACACTCAAGTCTTAATTTACCCCAGTCACCGAATTTTAACTGAGTGCCTGGTTAATACGCGATTTATCAGACTTTTTAATTCCTTATAGAAGGTACGAAAGGAATTTATTATTTTTAACGGAAAAAAGTGGTCTAAAACTCAAGTAGAAAAAGAAACATCATATTTTACTGTCTTGAATCAAATAAGTATACTTTCTGTACTCAGCCACTGCTCTCAGTTTTTAATGTTTCTCCTTAAACTCCCTGCATATTATGAATATTCTAAAACTGTATAAAATACACAGGACGTCCGTATTATGGGTTTGGGCAGCCTCCGCCGCCAGGCTACCCCGGTGGACCGCCCGGCCCGCCAGGTCACCCCCCACACATGTATCCGGCCCCTGGGGTCGTATTCTACCCCATGCACCCGGCCTACTTCTACCCCTACCCTGTCCCTCCCCCCTCCGACGTCCAAGTCGTGGAGCAACCCACCGAGGTGGTCCCAGAATTGCCAGGGGAAACTGTCGAGCTGCCATATAGTAAGTCTGGATGGTGAATAAGAGATAACACCTTCTAGAGACGCATATGTGTTCATTCAGTCATCTATTGGTTCTATAAATTATGGAATACCCATACATTATTTAAAAAATATATATTTTAGGGTATAAAACAACATTTCAGGACACCTTCTTCGTAAAGTTTCATTCTTATGAAACTCGTTTTTTCTATATTTGTCTTGATTACAATTATTTTGTATTTATTTGCGATACAGCTTAGGGCAGGCCCTGATAAAATTAATCAATTTTAAAATGCCATTAGTTTGACCCGGATAATACGAAAATTAATCACTTTTCGATAAAATGTTTTGTGTGTGGCAAATAGTGGAAAAATAGTTTATAAGTTTTACAAGTTTTGTGTAATAACTAAGTAGGTTTACATAAAGTCTCTATTCTTTGTTCATCGCTTTTAGAAAGGTGTTATCTCTAACATGTAGCTTCCCTAACATCGTTTGCCAAAGTTGAGCCAAATCTCTTTAAGGTTAGCTATCCAGACTTACTTTTAGGCAATAAGATCTTAACTTAATCTTAAGTCATCAATAAATAACTTTAAAATAAAATTTTCAGGACTGTAACCTCTGAATTAAATTAAACGAAGAGCTCTACAATTTCTACCGGTTTTAAAATAATATTAACTGACTAATAAATAGCTATGGAATTTATTTGTGTAAGTTATAGCAAACTAACACCCTAAAGAGTTTTGGCCAAAGCTTGTTGTGTTGTCTTATAAAAGTTAAGTTACAACTTAAAGTCTAGGCCGCATTGTAGGAATCTTAATCAAATTCAAAAATTTAAATTACCCTTTTACTCCCCCTACATTTATTAGCTCCCATTTTCATAAGTTTATTAACTCATTTCATTATGAGTATTCTTTATTTAACCCTGCAAACGGTCATACAGAGTGTCCCAAAAAGTGTCAAGCTGAAGCCCAAGGTAGAGCCTTGGGCTTCAGCTTGACACCCTGTATATCGCGAGGTAGTGATGAAAGAGAAGAAAAGAAAAAGCATTTTTTAATAAAAACAAAGCCGTCCCAGAAATTTTCATAAACTTCTTTTTCGTTCATATTGCTCGTTATTGTTTACAGACAAAAAGACCAATTTACTAATTTAAAATCCTAATTTCCAGGTACATACAAGTGGGTCCCGGCTTGCTTGAGCCAGAACAGCATCCCTCCAGGTGCGCTGCGCGTGGGCACCGACGTCGATGGAGACGCCATCTTTGCTGGGCGTGCGCACCACGAGGGCTGGGTGATGCCAGCTAAGGTCATCCCCAGCAAGAACGCGTGCTACATCGGCCACGCTGGTGAAGAGATTCTGGTTGACCAGTTCGAGGTGAGAGGCACAAGAAATTTTGACATACAGGAAAACTGGGCTTGGGGATTTATTTTTTTATAACATAGGTAGTTAATGAAAATAATAATCCAGTCAAGGCACATTATTTAAAAAAAAAGAGTCGTATTGCTTTTTAACGGCCGGTTCACACATGTCTCCGTTTTAGTGTTCCATTTTATCGTGTACGTTTTTTGTCATCGATGGCGTATGTAGTTGTATGAGCGACTTCACACATGACATAGTATTCTGTATAATGGAGTAAACACGTACACGATAAAACGGAACAGTAAAACGGAGACATGGTGTGAGTCGGCTGTTGAATGCAGTTTCTTTTTATCCGTACTTTTGTCAATCGATCAATTATGATGCCAGACAGGTCGGATTTAGGTACGGTCTAAGTACATACTTATTTTCCACATAAATAACAATGATTTTCTCACGTGATAAGAGCACATAATTTATTAATAAGCAATGATAGAATAAGTAATCACTTTAGGAAATTTAGGGAATTATATTTTGGGAACCTGAGTCCCGTTTTCACCATCAATCCCTAATTTTTAAGTGACCCCTTTGAAATCAAAATTCCTGTTATTTGTTACCACCAGGGGTGACTTAAAAATTGGAGATTGATGGTGAAAACGGGCATGAAACTCGTAGCATTCACCTTAAGGAAACTTCAGTCTTTGGTTAGCAGGTCCCGCACTTCTAGCAGTGAAAAGCCCCTATAAAAGAACTCAGAATTAGTTTACTATCTCTTAGCCGCATAACTGTGAAACTCGTAGCATTCACCTCAAGAACACTTCAAACTTTAGCAAGAAGATCTTGTGCTTCTGGAGGGAGAGCCTCGGAAATCCCACATCAACCAATAAATGTTATGTTCAGGAGCTGGTCAGTGGTCATATATCGGGAGAAAGTCTCTAAGATCTCATCGATCCCTCTTTAACCCAATTGTCCGTGTCCAGGTGCTGGTCCCGTCGATGTTCTCGTGGCAGTTCAGCACCAACGGCGAGGTGCCGCCCGGCGCCGTGCCCGCCGGCTCCACCGACTCCGGAGAGAAGCTCTACTACGGCAGGGTCACCCACGACGGGTGCACCACTCCCGGAAAGGTATACCACTTCAAATATAGAGAATAATTTCCATCACTCCATTTAACCACTGCGAGACTGTGACTCTCTGTGATTAGATGCAGAAGAGGTATTTAAAGCATTCGAATTCTAAATCAGATAGCACCCATAACACAAGCATATTAATTGCTTACTTTGGGGCTAGTTAGCACTGCGTGAAATTGTCTAAAGATATTTATTTATTTAACTATAGGCATACGAATCTGCGCCAATTTTAGGATTAGTGCTTAGTGATTATGCTATTTTTGAAACGGGATGTGCGATCTAACTTCGATAGGTTACATTGTTACGATTTTGTCAGTCAATTTGTACCATGAATAGGTGATCAGTTAATTAAACAGATAATACGTTTACTAAATGATGACATTCAATTTAATTTATGATGTCATATTGCTCTCTATTTATTTGTACAGAGTTGTAGCAAGACAGTAGGTAACTTTGATTAGTGATCCAAAAAAATTGTAGAGTCTATCTTAATTCCATATTTCGTCTTTCCAGATCCACCCCAGCCACGGCGTCTGCTACTACCCCTTCGACGGCGAAGACAGAAGCTCCGCGGAATACGAGGCCCTTGTTCTTTTGTAATTTAAGTTATTTTTACCCCACAATTACTACAATGTCGTGATCAAATTACTACATACTTGACTTTAACTTCTAGAGCATAATCGCCATGGCTAGGTTAGCTATTTCGTTATTTTGCAGATATTGACATTATAAATGATTGATATTTCGCAAATATTAAAGCTATAACCAAAAATGTATTTATTTAGATATATTTTACTAGCATAGAAAGGTTTGATTGCAGTTTGGAAGCAAAAAAAGATATTTCATACTAAATTGTGTGTTTATTTATATTTTTACCAGCTTACTCAGTTTTGATTTAACGCTCTAATTAACTTTATCGCATTGTAATCCATAACAAATGTTAGGCTATTGTCATCACATAGCCATTAAAACCATATTATAATCTAATACTGATAATACAATATTATAGAATCACCGTGAAAATCGGCTCTAAATCATCTTTTTTATTTTATTTTCCAATTATAATTTACATTTATTAATTAATATTACAATATTTCTAATTATCGCTTCGCTTTCGATCATTCTACGAAAGTTCAACGTGATGTCATAACATAAACAAAAACAAACAACAGAAATAATCATTAGTACGCAAGCAAGGTGCGCGTACGCCTTAAGATTTTAACCGTGGCCATTCAGGTGCGAACAGTGGTAGCTAGCGCACGGCTGATAAAACAAACCCCGTGTTTTAAAACATTTAATTTAATTTAAAACCCTCGGTTAAACAGTGCGGTGAAGTGTCAGTTAGAATTCGGATGGACAGTGTTCAAACCCGTTCAACCATGAAGGCTGTGGTCTATTTTGTGGCGCTAAGTAAGTTTTTTGAACGGAAATGCATTTTAGTTTAGGAAAACTTAGTTTTTCACAGCTTAAGCTTTTTACGTGGATTGATGCACTAATGAAGGTTTACAGGCACAATAGATAGTTAACTTTAAATAACTACACATTGAAGATACAAGTTCGCAAAAAGGCTGTCATTATTTTACATTATTATCTATAGCAAAGAGTTGTACAAGCGGAAACTTATTAACAACCAGTTGAACTGCTGAGTATGCCCTATTAATTGCCCTATTTATTTATAGGTACCTTTAACATGATTACATGACTGTAACTTTCCCCCAAGTACCTGTTCCTTATCTTACCCACTAAAAAGGCCTACTAATTGTCAGCAAAAGGTTTAAAAGACAATAAATTAATACGAATAGGTATGCAACTAGACTAAAAGTAGACCATGACCAAGTATGACAACACAATAGGTAGGTCTACATCGATAAGCTCTATTTTACGGTTCAGTTTGAGTGTCTAAACATACAACTTAGCTAAGTTTAAGTAGCTACTTACCAAGTTAAACTGAGTAGAAAACTAACGTCCGTATTCACAAACATTACTATGAGGTCTCACAGTGCGCGTGGACGCACAGGGTGATACACGAACCAGAGCAGACAGAAGCTCTATAACAAGCTAGCAGAGCTTTATTCAACGCTGTGCGTTCGATTTGCTGCTTCACTTAAGCAAGCATCGTTTGTGAATACGGGCGTTAAAGAAATTGAGCGTAATTTTATCAATTAGAGAAAATTAATGGATCTTTTTTCAGTGAAAATAAAAGCTCTTTATAACAGCTTTATGTATAATATCTAAATAAACATTCCCCTTAATCATATTTACATTGAAACTTAAATAAAGCCTGCAGTTATAACACAAGACTTACCACAATGATGTTGACACGCATTGTTTGATTTCAACACTGCCTGTGGTTTTGATTACAGTACTTAATTTATAGATATGAGTTGGTGAAGTAGGTAGTGAGCAAGACGTTAATATATACCACTACTTTTGATTCACCGAAAAAAAATGCCCGATTATGGAATCTTCTATTCCAAGATTTAAGAAATCTTAGATCCTATCCTACTGTAGTTTCGTCTTCTATCTGCTTCCCAATACTGTGTCTCAAAAGCCGAAATCGTTTTTCTGCTCGGGTAGACCAGCACAACACTCGTGATAATGATTTATCTGCAACCATGTGCAAGACATAGATACCTATTTTACAAGAGGTTTGTCTCATAACTTCATTTATCAAGATCAAGTGCCTAACTACTACTCTACTAATCTTAAGAATATCTGTACCTATCTACAGATAGATAAGAGTACTGATTCTTCTGACTCAATATATTTATTGAGTTGCATTTATATAATTTAGTTTTACAAGAAATAAAGGTACTTAGCTCTACCTACTGTAAGTATTACTAACCATGCTAACCTATCGTAAAGCTCTACCTACTGTAATTCACCATGCTAACCTATCGTAAGTAAGATCGTAGGTATAGATAGTGTAGCTAGGTTATGTAAGAAGTATTCTACAACATACGCTAGCTAGAAGTTCAAATGAGATTTTCTCATTTCGGATAAAAAGTTGTTATCGTACTCGTATCAAGGTGCATTGACTGTTATTATCTACGCTAGTTCATAATCGAGTTCTAGGTCAATCAAAGAAAATTATACTATGGTAACATATCGCATGCAAATTATGAGACCTTTGAAATGTTCTTGAACACTTCTAGCAAACAGGAAACGATAGGTAGATCTAGTTTATATGAAAATCTTTCTACCTACCATATCAATAGGTAGATCAAGTATACTTTCTTGATTTATGAATACAAATATGTGTTTTAATACTAAAATTGCTATACAGGTAGGTGTGGTATCTATAAAAGCAATTACTTACCCGTCCTCGAAAAACCTTCGTGGTTGGCGTCATTCATGTATCTTGGGTGAAACTAAGGTTATCTTGTAATTTTACGCAAGTCAGCCCGCATGCAATTTTGTTAAAAAATAACGTTTTAGAAATACGGACGGAAATAAAATATATAGGTAGCTACCAAATATAACCTCTTAGCGCATGCATATGTATTAAGCAAGACTACCTATTTATTGAGTACCTTCATAGTTATTATACAGCCAGCTAGGTGGCTAAAAGCCATTTCTTTTGCCAACTTCTGAAAATTGGATGCGACAAGCGAAAGGCAGGATAAAATAGAGCGTAAAAGGCCTATCTATGTAGAGCATTGGCCCGCTATAGGTTAATGATGATGATTCTTATAAAGAGAGTCGTGAAAGAGTTGCGTTAGAGACGAAACAAATCACAATGAAATCAATAGGGATTTTTCATTTTTTTAACAGTCACTTGACCCATAAAAATGTGTAAAATTAGTATGAATGTTCTCACACACATATAAAATACTAACGGCCGCACGCTTGGATCCCGTTTTACCCCCTTAGGGGTGGAGAGTTCTAAAAGGAACCCCCATGCAAAATTTGAGACTCCTAGCACATGCAGTTTCAGAGATTTCGTGATGAGTGAGTAAGTCAATCAGTGACCTTTCGCTTTTATAGATTGTTTATTTTTATTTATTTATTGTTCCAGCGTTAGGCAGCGCGTGGAGTGACATGGCCGGCGAGTGTGACATGGCGGGCTTCTACATGGAGTTGGGCTGCACCCCGCTGCCGCGACCTGACAACTCCACCGCGTGCCCTGACGCCTTCCAGTGCCCTGACCTACATCCTGACCCCTCCATGTGCTATTACAGGTAAAGTAGCTTAAAATAATAAGCCACAATAATTTCCAGTCCCATACTGGAAAGCTTACTGGTAAATCCACCACTGAACAAATCAAAACTTATAGGACCTTCTGGGAAGTAAAACAATTGGTCCTACTCTATACATTGATTGGTATTAAAGTCCTAGTTCTTCTTTGCTAGATGCATGCCTTTACCTTTTTGCTTAAAAGTCTAAGAAGCTTTAAATAATTAAGCTGACAATAAATTATTATGAAGAAGATTTAGCTTATGTTAGTTATAGGTTGGTGTACGTATATCCTTGCTACACCTTTAATCAAGTAACCCAAGCTTAATTTGGTCATGTAGGTAGGTATAGGTGTTAATACAGTAACAAAGTTTGTTCATTAAAGTGTGAAGGATTAATTAAGTTCTCTCCAAACAACTTTGGAAAGTTAGATTCAATATTGGTTCTCGCGCTTTCGTCTCTACAAAGATTTATGTAACTTTGTTTAGATTTATGAAAACTTTCTACTCAGCCAATAACTCATTAATTACAAAATCCAGACTTGTCGTCTAACTTGTGACCCCGCCCAGCTTAGCACGGTTGATTTCTCTACTTTTTGAATAATGTGACATTTATAAAAATATGTCCGGAGGTCTCTCTGAATAAAATGCATTTTTTTTTCAAAGTTACTAAGCATTATTGGCATTATGTGCAAACCATAAACTATTCATATCTGTTTATAAAATCAAAGTTTATTTACGCAACTCCACCAGACTGACCGGTTAGCGATTTCTAGGTATTTTTGTTGCCAAATAATAAGGTAATATGTGTCATCTCAAGTACCTGAAGGTCGTGGCATTTGGTCATGGCTGGAGGTCGCCTCTTTTTGTGAACTGTTCGCGTTCCGGTGCAAAATCTCGGACATTTCTCGGAACACGAGGTCAGGGTCAGCACACAGACAGACGACTTTGGGAAAAGGAAGTTTTTGTTATTAAAGATGTTTTACTCAATAGTAACGAAAACATATTATACACACTAACACACACCCACTCACACATGCACACACACATACACACACACACACACACACACACACACACACACACACACACACACACACACACACACACACACACACACACACACACACACACACACACACACACACACACACACACACACACACACACACACACACACACACACACACACACACACACACACACACACACACACACACACACACACACACACACACACACACACACACACACACACACACACACACACACACACACACACACACACACACACACACACACACACACACACACACACACACACACACACACACACACACACACACACACACACACACACACACACACACACACACACACACACACACACACACACACACACACACACACACACACACACACACACACACACACACACACACACACACACACACACACACACACACACACACACACACACACACACACACACACACACACACACACACACACACACACACACACACACACACACACACACACACACACACACACACACACACACACACACACACACACACACACACACACACACACACACACACACACACACACACACACACACACACACACACACACACACACACACACACACACACACAAAAAATAGGATAATAGACCTGTTAGCTGATGTGTTAATTCTTTAAATTTATAATTTAGCTTCTTTTTATATTAGAGTAACTGCTTATGATTCTTATAGTGTAACTTTAAAATTAAACTTAAAAAAACTTAAAAAAAAACAAGTTAATATGTTCAGAATAATATTATTTTATAACTGTACATCCTCTACTATAGTATGAATAAATTAATGGAAGAGCGTTTGCTCCCTGATACAGGCTCATTAGCTTAAAAGGGAGCTACGGTCACTAACATTGTAATGTACCCATTGTTATGAAATAAATTGTTTATTATTGTTTATTATTATTATTACTACGATTTTTAACGTATGTCTAATAGGTAGTGTCTTTATATTCTACCTGACGATATTGTAATTCGGACACCTTTTGCAACTGAGTTAAATTATATTGTAACTGTATGTTTTCCAAAAATAAATAACAGTAGCATTAAACTCATGGAAATGAGATTCTTTTTTCTTTTTTTCAGTGTCACCTGGCCCGCATATAAAATGTATGACGCTATCATTCAAGCTACTCAAAAAACTAAACTATCACGTGGTTTATTCCTGAAGTAACTTCGTAATTTCACTACAAAACCGTTATGATACAAAATCTGCTTACAATACAAGGCTGAGTAGGAAGGATCACAAATTGGATCCTCATTGACCGTTGAACTATTATGGCACCCTCTCCTAATACAAGTAAAATTCAGCCTTGCTGGAATGAGGTTATCGGGTAGTAATTTGTGCACTTCAAACTACTATAAGTTCTTATAGCTCTCCCTCTGTTGCGTCACGTTTCACTTAATTTTACCGTCTGATTCCAGGGGCGTTCCCTACGGCGACCGGTCGACCATCCCCCAGGCGCTGATCAATAACCCCTGCTCCCAGGCCTGCCGCTGCACAGTGGCCGGGGAGCCTCGCTTCGAGTGCGCGGCGCTGGACTGCGTGGAAGTCTTCAACGGGGACCTGCAGCAGTGCGTCAGGACATACGAGCTGGAGTCTTGCTGCAGCACCGGCAATGTTTGTGGTAAGACTGACCGAGGTGTGTCCCATGATCTCAAGCCTGCTGGTGCACCGTGGCCGCGATTCTCGTTTTGAGTGCGCAGGGCTGCACTGCGTTGAGGCGTTCTATAGAGACCTGCAGCAGTGCATCAGCACATACGAGCTGGAGTCTTGCTGCAGCACCGGCAATGTTTGTGGTAAGACTGAGGTGTTCGTCTAGAGAAAGTTTAGTGCACTGGTACTGACTATAACTATAAGGTGTTATTTGGTTGCACCAGATAATGTTCAGTGGGTTGTGAGCAGGTAAATGTTATAGAGTTTATATTGCTACAAAGGAGGCATCTGTAATATGCAAATTAATACATATATTGGGAAGGAGACTTCGAATATAATGTAATCCAGGACATGTAAAGAAGTTGTAACCGTAGAGGTCTTATTTTACTAGGTCTTAGGTTTACAGCAACCTTTAAAACTGAGAGTAAAGGGTCTCAAACGCAACATTTTATTACTTACGCATGGACCTATAAAAAAAGTCGGACGGATTCTCATCAACAAAATACTGTGACATTAGGATACACCAGCTTGCCTGTACGTACAGGCCGGCACGCACACATTCACACCCTGTTACACCACTTCGAGTGAAAACTTCACACAGTTGACACATTTATGCAGCGAAAAAACAACACGAATACGACATGTCTTGTGTGATGAAATTGTGTAAAAACCGTTCTGTTCGAACAAACAAAAATTAAGGAATCACATTTCACAGGCAAAATAATAATCCAATCACTTATTTCCCGACATTAAAATATTGAAATTAATTGAAATCAAACGTCATTCACTCGAAAAAATAATACGTCAAAGACCAGTGTTCTCAGTTATTTACGTGGGAAAATTACCCGAAATATGGGAAATTAATAATGATTTTAGGACTTTTTAGTTATGTATTACGCATACTATAGCAATAAAATAATTTATCATAATAATTGTGTTTTGATGGGATATATTTTCATGGGTAAATTTGATCCTTCCCAAAAATGTGGAACTGCGAAATTCAAATTTTCTTACATTGATTGCAAGTCAGTGTCAGGTTGTATGTTAAAAAAAATCTATCAGAGATAATAATAATATATTGATGATGCATAAGATTATGATTATAATGTACACAAGATTCGTAATTTGTAACTGCGTGAATCATTTTTGATCAACATTATGTACATACCCTGACACACTGACTTGCAAACAATGTAAGAAAATTTGAACATTGAAAATTTCGCGCCTACCTCAACGCATACACCTTTCATCCTTTTAAAATGGCACGGAATAATTCTGTCTACATTTCCAAGTAACATCTGCCGATCTATGTTTTTCTTAAAATAAATGGGTAAAATGTTTTGGCTAACATGGCATCCCTAAATTCACTCACACAATAGACAAACGCCAAAATTTTGCGTCACAGTTTTGTTGTAGCTCGAGTTCCGTCCGCCTTTTTTTATAGGTCCATGCTTACGTAGTAAATGAGAACTTACAGCTTGACGTTTCAGCTGTGTAGAATTTAGGTTGTAGGTATTTTAGAATCGCGAAAGTTTGAAACCTTTAACAGCTTTTCGTCATTTCATTATATTGTCTTAGAAGATACCTACTCATGATTTATTATATGTGATGAGTAAGTTTGATCTGATATTGACTAGACTAATAATCGCTGTTTGATTCCTTTTACGCCAGATGCGGCAGTAACCGTTTTATTGCAGGATACTCCAATGATCTATTGTCTCATTGTGCTCGTTAATGTCATCATAAAAATATATATCAAGCTATTAATCATTGTTTTTCTAATCGAATAACACGTAGGTGGTTTGACATCATTTTGTAGACATCGGTAGTCCTAGATAGATAAGTGATATAACAAAATCTTAACATCATTTATTATCCTGTACTATACGCCCACAGGGGCTTACAATTAATTAATTAAAACCTGCCTGACACAGAGATGTGTTCCCAATAGATGTAGAGACATGTAAGTAAATTATGTGGGCTAGTTAGATTGATTGTTCCAAGTTGCGAACATAAGAATGAAAATGAATTATGTGAAACGCTACGCTGTCTACACGATCATATTAATCACGACCTTAATACTGGGTGACTCAGAAGCCTTTAGTAAAAGAAATTTCCTGAAATGTCTTATTATGAATCTACACTTAAGATTTGATTCATGGACAGGACCATGTGTTGATAAGTGCCCTGAAAACTGAAAAAGAATTTGTATTTGTCTGTAACTGTTTGCTACTTATTGAAATTTAATCAATTTCAAGAATAAAATAATAGATAGTACGAGCAGGATACACACTACATGAAGTCATCCTTAGGTATTAGAATAAAAAAACCAAATCTAAGTTCTACTAACTAAGCCCTATCTATCATATTCTAGGCAAAGACGCAATAGCCAGCCTGAAGACTTGCGAAGTGGATGGCAAGACGTACATGGAGGGAGAGTCTTTCGAGCCCAAGAACAGTCACAAGACCTGCATCTGCACAGGCGAGTGGAACGGCACCACCGACAATGCTGCCTACTGCCGGGATATCAACTGCGGGATCGAGATCCACTACCAGGAGAAGCTCTTGGATAACTGTGCTCCAGTATTCGTTGGGGACAGGAGAAGGTGCCCCATTGGTTTCACCTGCCGTAAGTTTGAGTTTTGGTCTCTTTAAACTTCGTTTAACTAGCAGGTGTGTCAGCAAACTTTCTACTCGATAAATATTACGTTTCTGTCAGGGATTCTTGTAAATACCGACCGATTGACTCTCAAAAGAAGCCGACGTGTCGTCGTAGACATTGACATACCTACGAGTAAGATACCCGTAATTGGGTAATGACAATTGACAAAGGTCCTTTATTATGAGCTGTCAAGACGTCCTGATTCCTCATAGATTTATTAAAGAAATCGGTGACGTCACTGTTTGCACACATATCATTGACTGAACTTATTGATTTCAGAAATAAAATATTTTACATTTAGCTGAAATGCTACAGGGCCGGAATGAAATGTCTTTTTCAGTATCCCTTGTCAATTTTGCGGGCATTTTTGCAATATTTTCTGCAGGCAGGGTAGAACTGTTTGTTGTAGAAATTTTTGGGGAGGTAATTCAGCAGTGGCTGAAACATGACGATCTAATATGCTCTCTTCTTTGTTTTTAGCATCGGCCACCACCCGCGTGGTCCGTGGTCTCAACGTGCGCGGAGTAAACTCGGAGTGCGTGTTCGGCAACCGGACCCTAAGCGTGGGAGACGAGGTCACCGCCGACGCGTGCACGACCTGCGCCTGCGACGTGCCGCCCTTCGTCTCTTGCATGATGAAGAACCCTTGTCCGAACTCCACGTAAACTGTTAATTTGTATTTGTATACCTTTGGAACCTTTGTGAACTCCGTCAGCTTAAAACGCATGAAAATTAATTAAGTACCAGGTTCAACCCAATAGAGCTAACTGCGCACCTCGCTGGAATGCAACTCTCCCTCTCACTCACCCCCACACTTCCCCGCGTCCGCCCCGTCCGCACCAGAGCGTTGATGTGACGTCACGGCTGCCCGGTGCGCAGTTAACTGGACCGCGTTGTAAGGCAAAGCCTATACTTTGAATTTGGGAAGTTTCTCTTCTAAAGAATATCCTAAGTTACTTGTTGATTTCGTTTTGAATTCGTTGCTGAATGCTAGTCTATAAGTAAAACTGGATTGCGCTCTTATTTAATTTTCGTTTTGGTTAAAAAGTGTGATTGTTGCCAAAGTTGAAAGGTCTTGGCTATTTATTGGGCGTATTTGGAAGCGGCATTGATGATTCTTTTTGTAGCCATGTGACATTGTATTTTATTACTTGGAGTAGCTACATTAAATATCACCATGTCGATTAATCGGATAAAGCCGAATCAAAATCGACGTTGAATTAAACACAAAAAACGTCGACAAATAGTTAAATTGTGATACTTTTGACATACAATTCGTAGCTAAATTGTAGTTTGGTGAGTTATTCTGATCTTATTTGTGTTTCAAGTGATTGTCGTTGTAATTTATGTGATTTTATGTGAAATCATTTAGGTAATATTTAATTACGTACTTACTTATTCATAGAGCTTAAAATTTTTACTGTTTTGAACTTAATAGTGTTTTTAAATAAAAATAAAAAATGCTATTACAATACTATCAATTTTATTATAATATTTCTTAAATCAATATTACTGTATATTTATCATTATAATTTAGGTACTTAATCTTACACATTACGCAGGTAAATTACAATATAAATAAGGAAAGCTATTTACATTACTTATGTACAGTGCCAACACAGCCTTAATGGACCCTTGTAACTTATGTACTAATTAATACTAAAATGTTGCGACGACTTCTTACAGCTAAGAGTAAATTAAGTAAATTGGTTAAAATTAATGCTTTACAATTTGTTAAAAAGTAAGTTTAAGTAACAATATTATTTTCCTTAATTAAACTTTATCACATTACGTAGGAATAATTACTTAAGTTTTTTTAATTATAAGTCCTTAAATCAACGAGACCTACAGCTACTACGTAATTTTTAAGATAATATTGATATGCATACACATTTGTAACAAATCCTAGTACTTAATTAAATGTTAATTAAACAATATAAAATCTTAAGAATACTTAGTTTTTTTATTTAGTTAAAATATAAATGCATTTTTATGGCAAATAAGTTTTATGAAGTAAAGGTTAAAGTCGTATTAAATCATTTCGTACATTCATTATCCGAATGTAGACTAATACGTATTGTAAAAAAAATCTTTGGTAGAGTTAAACTAACGAAATAATATACGTCATTCATTGGTATTGATTAAAGCAAAAAAATACGTTGATATGGAAAACTTAATAATAACTCTGGCACCTTAAAAGAATTTAAACGCAGATCTTGATAGAATTCGTTTCGTTTTATTTTCGCCCCTATGTACGACTATAAGGTCTCAAGTTACTAATTAATTAAGTTACTAATTGAGTAACTCAACATTTATCACGACCACTTTTAACAAACATAATAAAAATGTTTTTTGAAACAGCTGAAAAAACTAGTAGCAGTGATTCACTCATGGGTTTATCTCAGTAATACATGAACAACATCATACTGAAATTAAACAACTGCGAATAGCGATAGATGCTAAGTTACACGATTAGGAAATTAATATCGCAATTATCACGATCTCCGTTCATTGGAACACCCGCAATCCGCATGTTAAGATTATTTTATCACACACAATGTGAGGTAAACTCGAGGTAGATCTATTTGTGTCATTTACTACCTCGACTCTCTGTTGAGTTTATTATGTGTCGACGTGATAATCCTGTCGTGGGTGATCTCCTTTGGTCCTAGCTGAAGCAAGCAAGGCCCAGCTCCACGCGGAACTCCTGGTTAGCTCTTCCCAAGTCCCTGACTCCCACATCCAGGAGTGGCAGCCGTCCTGACTTGTCCGTATCGAAGTGCACTACTGTCTTCGCCCAGGTGTTTTTCTTGAACTGGTAAGACATCAAAATTAAGTAAGTAAATAGTAGTTTAGTTATTATACTTATTATTATTCTGTGGTAGAACTAAAGACTGGAGACTGGGGATGAAATGCTAAACATAGTCAATTTCAGCAATTTTGGCTATGTTATTAAATAAATGTCAGCAATATTTTTATGCTTTTACTCGTATAGTATAGCAGTTTTTAAGGATGGGCGATTAAAATGGAAAGAGGCAGTAAACCAACATTTACGATTCGTGTACAGAATAAGAAAACTAAGTAAACCCGTAAAATCCCCTTCCCAATAAATTATTTATAAAAGCTGACTTACTTGGCATTCATCCAGTAGCGCCTTGTACCTCAACCTGTTGTTGGCCTTAGGCAAGATCTCAGCGTCGTTATAAGCCAACAACTTGATTCCGTGGCGGTGGTTCCTTGTGGCGGGGTCATAGAATCCCACAGTGTTGCGGCAGTGGAAGGTCACATTCTGAGTGGCGTGAGCTGACATCAGCTGCAGGTATGTCAGTTGGGAGTGGTCCGCTTTGTATGTGATCTGATAAAGAGACATAAAATATGTTATTATTACACCAAGAAACCTAAGTGGTGTTAATGGTTTGCTCAAGAAGCTACTCGCTAGAACTTACCGTGAACCCTTCTTCCATCTCGCTTAGCCAGACTTCTTTATCTTTGCCCTTATAAGTAATGTCCTTAGACTGCATGGGTTTGGGATAAACGCAGCTGCTGCCAGTGTCCATGTCGCAGTGCACCATGATAGCATCGTTCAGGTCCCCACCATTCGGGTCGATCCAGTATTGCCCTGAAATAAAAGAAAATCTCTTGAAATACTTATCTCTACCACGTACTTATAATTTACTTCCGCAAACCATAGGAAAGAAAGATGAAGCTATGAGAGTTTTTTTCTTACATACCACTTTCAAATCCTGGATGGTGATACTTGATGTCCGCGCATGTTTTAGCTGGTGCTTCCTTTGATCCATCAGGTTTCAGGAACTTATTGAGGGACACCTTTAGTCGTTCATACGCCTTCATCACGATTTCTTTCCTCTCAGCAGCTGACATGTCTTCGCTGAAGAATCGAGGTGGCATCGAGTTAGGATCATCGCCCAGTGGGTCTGGCCCCTTGACTGAGCCCTGTTGAAGCATAGCAGCAATAGCAGCAGCGTCGTAAGCCAAGCCTTCTCCAGGAGGGCCAGGGGGGCCGGGAGGACCAGCCGGTCCAGGTGGTCCGTGCCGCCCTGCGTCTCCCGGGGCCCCGCGACCTCCGGCAGGGCCAGCTGGTCCTTGAAGTCCAGGATTGCCATCACGACCAGCGGGTCCTATAAAAATGCAACAAAGATTTAATGCACCTGAAATGTGTACTTTGCCCAAGTGACTCTTCTATGAACAAAGATTGCGTTATAATCATTTACCTCTATGTCCTGGTTCGCCATCTTTTCCGGGCGGTCCACCCGGCCCAGGCAACCCTCGTTCACCTTGCCTCCCGGGAGCTCCAACCATACCAGGTAGACCTGGCAAGCCCGCATGTCCTTTAGCGCCATTTAATCCCGCTTCACCGCGTTCGCCCTTTGTGCCGTCTAAACCAGGTGCTCCTTGTTTGCCCGCTGGACCTTGTGGTCCATCGACACCAGGAGGACCAGATTCACCACGCGGCCCACGTTCGCCGGCAGGCCCTGACTGTCCAGTTGGGCCTGGTGGACCCTGAGTAAAGTAATAATAATGATTAAAAATGTATGCGAAATATTTCACTCCAATTCTTCGTTCTTCACAAGAAGAATAGTAGATCAAACTTCCGAAAACAATTTTTGAAATAGAAATATTATTTAGTGTGCGTAGTCTAAAAAACTAATGTTAATTACCTGCAGACCAGGTGGTCCCTGGGGTCCAGAAGGACCTGGCTGTCCAATCGGTCCCTTATCTCCTGGTCGTCCCGATATTCCAGGTTGTCCTTGTTTGCCTGGTCGTCCTTCAGGTCCTGGTTCTCCCATTTGCCCGGGCGGGCCTTGTAAGCCTGGTGGTCCAACGGGTCCTGGAGCTCCATCTGCACCGGGTTTTCCAGGGATTCCGCTTTCACCCTAAAATTATGGAATGGTAACAGGTGTTAACAAAATTATATTAATTACAAAAAACATGATTTAAATATTCCTCAGTATACCTGTGACCCACGAAGCCCTGGTGACCCTGGAGGTCCTAACATTCCTGGAAGCCCAGCCGGTCCTCTCTCTCCTGCAGGACCCGGAGGTCCAGTTAATCCTTGGGGTCCCGATTCGCCTTCGCTACCTCTTTCGCCTTTAGGTCCCTCAAGACCTGCGGGTCCTGTTAATCCTTGAGGTCCCGAAGGGCCTGGTCTTCCAGAATCTCCAGTTGCTCCTTTAGCGCCGGGTATGCCTGGTGTTCCCGCAGGGCCAGTGCTGCCTTGAGGACCCTGTAACAGAAAAAAGACGCTTTTATATGTTATCACTTTTCATATTACGACTCTGAGTAGCTGTTGCATGTCGTCTCATTAGATATGCATGCAAATTGCGTAAGTTTCAATATCTAATCAGTTCTAGTATAAAATCTTACTGGAGGTCCTAGATCTCCAGGCCTGCCGGGCAGACCCGCGTGTCCTGCCTCTCCTTTATGTCCCTGTTCACCACGAGCTCCCTTCGCGCCGGCTTGCCCTGGGAGCCCACGAAGCCCAGGTTCTCCAGGTACACCTGATTGAAACAGTTTTATTAGATTTCAATTCACATGTTGCAATTTATTTAAAAAAACACAATATTCTTTACGTTATTCAGCTATTGACCCATCACTGATGCATTAGTCTCAACATAAAGTTAATTTTCATTGCAAAGAGTGAAAATGTGTGGCCACTGGCCATTCTTACTTTCTCGCTTAAATGCATTTATCTTTTATCATTGCGACTTACCTGGGCTACCCGGTGACCCTTGTTGTCCTTTCGCTCCAGAGTATCCGCGGTCACCCTTTAGCCCTGGCATGCCAGTGAGACCCGGAGGTCCTGAGAGGCCAGGAGCGCCCTGCATTCCCGGCTGGCCCCTTTCACCAGGAGAGCCAGGGGCGCCAGATTCACCGGGGACGCCAGCCACACCAGGTTCACCCCGCTCTGCTGGTTCACCCGGAGGACCGGCTGGGCCAGTAGGTCCTTGTGGTCCTTGTTCACCTTGACGACCTACACATAAAAACGAAGAGTTAATAGAAGCCGTACACATTGATCAAGTGAATAATTTATAATTTTCTTTATTAAATAAGAATTTACCTGGTGGCCCATCATTGCCTGGGGGTCCAGCCGATCCTCGTTCGCCCTTCTCTCCCGGTGAGCCAGTCATACCTCGCAATCCCGGCATTCCCATCGCGCCTACTGGACCTGGGTGTCCCTTGCTGCCTCTTGGACCTTCTGGGCCCTAAAAGGTCAAAATAAGAATAATCCGTCCGAAATAATTTCGCACCATAAACAAAAAAGTGTGGAAAGAGATGGTTGGATGTAAGATAGGTGAAAGATAGTATGAGCTACTTAAAAATGTAGTTATCAAGATAAATATAAGGCGTACCGGTGGTCCATCAGGGCCCTGGGCTCCTGACTCTCCCTTTTCTCCCGTCGCTCCAGCTTGTCCCGGCAATCCACGTTCCCCTGGGAACCCTCTTTCTCCCCGTGGACCCGAAGGTCCTGGAGGCCCTGCTGGTCCTGCTACACCCATTTCACCTTCTTTACCCGGTGACCCTGGTAACCCAGCTGATCCAGGCATACCCTACAAAAATAGGAGGTAAGTAAGTAGGTCTTAAAACTCAAAATTAAATTCTAAGAATGGCTTTTATAGATAAAGAAATCATAAGGAATACCGGAAAACCAGTCTGTCCAGCTGGCCCAGGTGGACCTCTCTCGCCAGAAGGACCAGAAGCTCCTTGCGGTCCCTGTATTCCAGGATTTCCATCTCGTCCAGCATCGCCTTTAGGTCCTTGTGGTCCTGCCTGACCGGGTTCACCATCTTTCCCTGGTTCTCCCTTAAAAATCATACATAATTTTTAAAATTATTCATAAAACGACTCAAAAATTCAATTAATTATTTGATTTTCAAAATCGAAGATACCTGCAAGCCTCTTTCTCCAGGGCTGCCCATAAGTCCAGGTGGTCCTTGTAATCCTTGGGATCCTTGTTCACCAGGACGACCATCAGCACCAGGAATACCCCTTTCTCCTTGCGGGCCAGTCTTGCCTGTAATACCGGGTCTGCCAACAGGTCCTCTAGCACCTTGTATTCCCTGTGGTCCAGGTCTTCCAGGATCACCAGAGCTACCTTTTGTTCCAGGTAGACCAACTCCTCCACGTTCCCCTGGCTGACCTTTTGGACCCATTTGACCATCAGGACCAGGCAAACCTCTTAATCCATTCAAACCTCTCTCTCCTGGAGGGCCTACATTGCCAGCAGGGCCTCTCAAGCCTCGTTTGCCTCTTTTGCCTTCAGGACCGATAATGCCGGGTAATCCCCTAGGACCAGGAGATCCTGATTCACCTCGAGGACCCGAATCTCCTTTGATACCTCTTTCCCCTGGTTGTCCCTGAAATTTTAAATAAATATACGAGTTAGATTGATTGATTTGATCAAAATGTGAACTCAGATTTGATTACTGTTGTTACTTACCGGCATGCCTTTTGATCCAGGGATTCCTGGGTCTCCAGCTACTCCAGGTGTACCACGTGGTCCAGGGAACCCTTGAGGGCCAGTGGCTCCAGGTTGTCCTTGTACACCCTTTTCGCCAGGTATTCCATCACGTCCAGCAATCCCAGGGGGTCCAGCGTCACCTGATTGTCCTGGTCGGCCAGATTCACCACGTAGGCCCTGTAAGCCCTGACTTCCTTTGGGTCCGAAAGCTCCTTGTTCGCCTTTCATTCCCGGAGTTCCAGGGAAGCCAGGAGCACCAGGTTTTCCGATGTTACCCTGAATTTTACAAGCAATACCATAAATTACATAATTTCTATCCAGTACGAAAATAATATTATTACATTAGTAAAGAATTAACATTACCATTGGTCCAGGTGCTCCAATAGCACCGTCAGCTCCACGCATTCCTGGTGGCCCGGGAGGACCTTCTCGGCCACGTTCACCCCTTGGTCCTACAGGACCCTGTTTAAATAAATTACAGATTATTATTATTCAATAAATACTCGCAATTTTAGAGGCAGTATTTTTTAAGGATTTTACAATCTTATGACCATTTTGACTAATTGACTAACTATCTATAGATGAAAAACCAAAAGGTGTTAACACTCACAAGTGGTCCAGCCGGTCCCATTTGACCCGGTAGCCCAGTAGGTCCCTTTTCTCCAGGCAGTCCCTGTTCACCTTTAGCGCCATCCTTGCCGTCAAACCCGCGGTGACCCTTAAGACCTTGAATACCGGGCACTCCAGGGGCGCCACGGGGTCCCGTCTGTCCTGCTGTTCCGGCTGGCCCGGGTTCTCCATCCTCTCCGGGTGATCCCTGAGCAACAAAAATGTTTTATATTTGCGATTACCTACACCAGTCATGCGATAAATACTCGTATTTATTCACTTGAAGAAAAAAATGAAAATTGCTTCATTGCTTGAACCCTTGAGAAAGTATAAAAATTTAGTTACATCTTTTCCAGGTGGTCCTTGAGGTCCCCTTTCTCCGGGTGTTCCTTGTAATCCAGGTAAACCCGGTTCACCGGGTTCTCCTCTCGGACCTTGAAAGCCTTGCGGGCCGGGCGGGCCTTGTGGTCCTGGGAAAATGTACAAAATATATTTTTTTATTGTTCCTTACCAGATTTAATTCCATTACTATAGTTACAATAGTTTTACCTGGTATTCCTCTAATGCCGGGTTGTCCAACAGAAGCTTGCATGTACGCATATGGGTCGAAGGCAGGCCCTTTATCGCCTCCTGATGCCGCCGCCAGTTGCGCTAGGTACGCGTTCACCTGGTAAAAGACAAATTAGAGATAGAAAACGAAGCTTTAAAGTTTGACTCACCAGCATTGTTCATTGCCTAGGAGTCCTACATTATAGTGCTTATTTTTTAAGTTATTCATTTACACATTTAACGATCTCATTTCTAATTGAGATACATTCTACTTGATAATTCACGGGGTCCCGGCCTGGATTGTTTATTTTTTTAAATATACGAGTGAAATCTTGCAACTCACATCAGGCATTGGTCCGATAGGCCCCGGCATGCCCGGAGACCCAGGGACTCCGTTGACACCTGGTGCTCCTGGAGGTCCTGACGGGCCCTCTTCACCAGGGAGTCCGGCCACGCCTCTTACTGGTACTAAAGGCCTTTCTGGTCTGCTTGAGGGTACTGGATCTGATAAAAGGACATTTTTTATGAAGAAATCAAGTTGTTTCTAGTACCTAGTCAACAATAGTCGATAACGCTACTATTGTATAAATTGGTAGGCTAATATCAATAATATAAATATTGAAGAAAAGATACGCAAACATAAACATAACAATTATCTTTAACTAATTTGCGACAGCTCTATAATTTAGGAGGATGCGACGATATTTATTTTACTCCGTAGCTCTTAGTGCCTGTATTATTAGCGTTGAGGTAAGTAAGAACTAGTTGTTCATTCTTACTGGTGAGACAAGCGGCAAGCTGAGTGCAGTTGATGCGGCCACCGAAGCACTGGCAGAGGGTGCAGTTGTCTCGCTTCCAGTGCTCGCCCTCGGCCCAGGCGCGCCCGATGTCGATGCAACGCTGCGCTGGTGGTGGAGCTGGTAATATGAATTTTACAAGTTGATTTTCCATTTATTTTTTTGCAACTAAAACTGATATAACAGTACATTTTCATAAATTACTCTGCTCTATCAAAAGCTCTATCAAAAGTTCAATTATGTTTCTCTCAGATATGGAAAATGTAGCCAGAAGATCTCTGGAAAAGTGGGATGCTTTGCCTATGTATGCTCAAAATGCTTTTTTCGGAATGATTTGAAATACAGATTCCAAATTACTATAAAAATCTACTTACTTCGTGTAGAAGGGCGAATTGGGGGAAGGTCTGAAAAACAAAAAGAAAATTATTATCTCAGTAACTAACTACCTACTATTATTGATATGGAGTTAATGGTTGGTGATATTCTGTGATATTCAACTTACTTGTCGACATTCTGAAGTCTCGTTCAGCGAGGATAGCTGTAAAATATTAAATCATGTCAATAAAACATCTTCAATGCAAAAGTATGATGAAGGAAAGGATCAGTAAAATGCTTTCTCTACAACCATTAGAACCACTAAAATCACCATACATAATGTAGATTATAGTAGATCTTCGCTGGACAGGAGTGGAGCTGTGATAACGAGAGGTGGGAATAGTCCAGTTTAATTACACAATCAACATAATAGGCTGGTACTGAGAAGGTACTAAAGAGTGAAGGTACCGTTGTCGTCTTCGTCGAGAGGCGAGTACTCGTCATAGCTTTCGAGGTCGGCCTCCTGCGCCTGCGACTCCACGGCATCAAGAACTCCTTGTGCCAGCTATAGAGATCCTAAAGGTAAGCCAGCATGCCCAAGTGTACTAGCAAAGTCGCACGTACCGTTGTCGTCTTCGTCGAGAGGCGAGTACTCGTCGTAGCTCTCGAGGTCGGGCTCCTGCACCTGCGGCTCCACGGCGTCGTGAGCTCCTTGTGCCAGCTATGAGATGCTAAAGGTAAGCCAGCATGCCCAAGTGTACTAGCAAAGTCGCTCGTACCGTTGTCGTCTTCGTCGAGAAGCGAGTACTCGTCTTAGCTCTCGAGGTCGGGCTCCTGCGCTACGGCTCCACGGCATTATGAGCTCCTTGTGCCAGTTATAGAGATGCTAAAGACAAGCAATAAATCATGCACTAGTGTACTAGCAAAGTCGCTCGTACCGTTGTCGTCTTCGTCGAGAGGCGAGTACTCGTCGTAGCTCTCGAGGTCGGGCTCCTGCGCCTGCGGCTCCACGGCGTCGTGCGCCAGCTCCTTGCACGCCGCCGGCAGCGCCAGCGCCGCTAGCACCAGCCAACTCCACCACATGCTGACTACAAGAGGTGCGAATGAGTCAGAACCACCATATTATGCTGACTAACAAAGGTGGAAAAAGTGTTCTATTATGTATTAATTTATTCTTTTAAACAATCGCCTTTTACACAATTAACCCCTCCAAGTAAGCTACGAGATAGGGTTGTGTTAGGATTGCGTTTTCATCTCAATAGTCCAGCGGCCGACAGGGCAAACCCTGAACTAGCATCAGGCTTGTATTCTGGAACGAACGCTTAACTCTTTACATAGAGTAAAAAAAGCGTATATTAAATGGTGCATTTAGCCGATTTCCACGATAGCCGAACGGTGAAGGGGTCGGACTGGCCGACTCGTGGTCCGGGGAACGCGGGTTCGGTCCCTGCCGCCGCTCGACTATTGTGGTGAGCTCACTCGTGACACAAGCATATTTAGCTTAGTACGAGGGGCTAACGGGAGTATTAGTAATTTGTAAAATAACAAATTACTAATAATCTTTAAAAAAAAAAATGTAACACGAATGCATTTGCTTTTTGTTTTGTTTTACCTTAATTTCAATCCTAAACTACATCCAGATCGACAAAAATGAATGGCATGTGGTGTGGCGCGTGCGCCGATGCGTAATCAAATAAATGACTATGCCTCGCGCATGCGTGATGCGTGATGCGCTTTCAGGATGACTCCACATTTTCACATGTATGTTTTCTTAGTTTATTACTGAGACTTTTCAAACTCCTTAAATGTTGGATATCGCGTATTAATGACTTTCTTGTGATTAATAAAAACGTTTTGTTGATTTTTCAGAAAATGATAGCCAAGAAGAAATAATTACTTACAATAATATTACGTCAGTCAAAAGGAGCAAAAACTGTAGGTATCTATGTACAGTCACGGAATGAAAAGGTTCGTCAGTTTTCAAATTGATTCCTTCAACGAATCGCGAGCACATATTACCTTTTGAAACTATGTTACAGAATAATCTCGAGTTAGAGAAAATAATCTTTAACTGTTCGTCAGTAAAGTTTAAAATTATTCAGATCAAAGTTGTTTGACGATTTATCTTGTCAAGAAGATTAATATGATTTATAAACTAAAACCTTCTTGTTGCCTAAAACCTGCCATTATTATTTCTTTTAAATAAAAAAAACTATTGTCAATTGGTCAATGTCATCATTGCATTGCACTGATGGGATAGAAAAATAAACAAGCAAAACCTTATTCGTTAGCAAACGTCATATTTATTTAAATGTTAGCAGCACTGTTTCTTGCACTGTTATGTTGGCAGGTTTGACTCTTACAGTACCTAGTGCAAGCGAAAACCGACACTAAGGTGACGAACCTTTTCATTCCGCGACTGTACATACATAAAACAATTAACTAAATCTAGTTGACAGTTATAATTAATCCTGTCGTTACTCCTCTTTTTCTCTCATTAATAGTGACTTGTGTGAGCTCAATATCACGATCGTAACTTTTATCCTAGGCACGGTATACTGTTGTCGCATCCTTACTACACTTTTCTTCAAGTTTATACGAAAAGTAAGATCATTACCTAACACCAACCATTTGTGTTCAAATGGTTTCTGTACGATTGATTTGATCTAACGACGTAATCCTCTTTGAGCACCCGCCCAAATAGCACCTGGCCTATTCCACTTAGAGCACCTATCGATATAAAAATTCCACGAAAAGCACCTGCCCATAATATTGATAGGTGGTCTGAGTGGAATAGGCAAGGTGCTACTCGTGCGAGTGCTATTTGGGCGGGTGCTCAAAGTGGAATACGTCGCTCTAACATATCACTGAAGTTCGTGAAAGCCCTATAACTTCGAACTACTAACCTCCCATTTTCGATGTGCTCCGACATCTATCTGCGTATAGTTGACAGAATCAATTGGTGCTATAATAATTAATTTTAGCAACCGATGCAATGCTGAATGAACCAATTTGCTTATTGGACAATTGCGTCTATGAGGCCGGTGCCCACTTTCGATGGGACGTAGCGCAAATGAAACAGCAACCTCATACACGGATTTAACAGCTGACTTTCCATTAACGTTTCATTAATAAACGCTACAGTATTTATTTCGATCTTTGTACGAGTTTCCCTAAACAATACGCTAAATACAAAACAATAATTATTATCACACAGCAATAAAATAGTAGAACAATGTATTCTCCAATATTTTAGGAAATCATAGCGCAAAAATTAGTGAAAAGCTTGAAAATTGAAAAAAATGCGAATATTGACAGGCGGGAAAAATATGAGATCCTTTGCTATGATTCCCATAAATCACCGTTCTTTGCTTAGGAAATAAGCTGTTTGTTCTTGCGTATGCTGTGGTTAAGATTTAGGCAATAATGTCCGTTCGAAATTGGGTTGTTATGAGCCGCTGGAATGCCACTATATTGATAATTATTATGGCGCTTGGCGACAACGGTTGTCGAGCAATCGTTTGACGAATTTCATTCTGATTGTGCCCGACTTAAAACAGAGCAACGACGAATACCTACAGCAATACACTTTAGGTTATTGTACTCTAGTTAATTGGGGAATTGAAAACGATAAGCAAAACGTTTTCAATTTGTCTTTAAAATTAATTATCGCAATTGTTTGTTCAGCTGGGAGGATTAAAAAATGCAAAAGAAGAAGGATTGTTGGAAGAATCAGGTGCGATTGTGGTCAAATACCTGCCTTGTTATGCATAAAAAAAAATAAAAAAAAAAATAAAAAAAAAATAAAAAAAAAGTATTTTTTAATGTAAAAAGTTATTACTGAAGATTTTTTGTTTGAGTAATAATTCGGGGGAACGCTAACTAAATTGTAGCCCAACAGATTTTAGCTTTACATTTTTTAAACTCTATCAAACAAGCATTTACAATTCTAAAACCTAAAACAGACACAACCTAAATTATTTTTCACGGTAAGTCTATTTTAAAACCTTTACCACATAGGTAAAAGTCGAGATTTTTTTATTCGCATGTTTTCAAATATATTTGACGTGTGAAAGTGATGAAAACATACGGTGTGCATTCGTAGATAAGCGCTCACATTGAGCTTTTCGCACCCCATTTGGCAGGACATTCCACTATCGTTACACTGAGAAACCGATGCTATTCGATTGAAAAAGCTTCCGTAAGCTTTCGAATCGGCGCGGAAATCGGAAATGGGCGGATGGAATCACAAATAATACTTAGTTGCCCACTAGCTTGGAAAAATCTCTGAGACAATCAATCGTAGATATGTAATTATATGAATGGGTTTGTTTGTTAGGGTTCCGTACCTCATAAGGAAAAAACGGAACCCTTATAGGATCACTTTGTTGTCCGTCCGTCCGTCTGTCAAGACCCTTTATCTCAAGAACGCGTGAACGTATCAAGCTGAAATTCACATGAAACACTCAGGTCTATTGTCCCTTTAAGCTGTGAAAATATCAAACTTCTAAGCCAAGCCAATCAAAAGATACAGCCGATTATGTCGATATTTTCAACAAATTTTCGACACTCGCAAAGGAATCAAAACCTACAGGATACTTCCCGTAAACTCAGAATCTTGAAATTTGGCATAAAGCATTGTCATATAATGCAAATATAGGAAAAATTGCGAAAATTTCATTTTTTTTTTGTTATACAGGGTGTTTGGCGCATCGTGTGCCAAAATGATTTGGCGGATAGAATGGGTCATTTCCTATATTTTCAGCCCCCATAACATGTTCCATGTCAGGCGGCTACTTTTATATTAAGTTTTTTAGTAATTTCACCAAAATACCCAAATCGCATCATTTAATTTCGATTTAAAAAAAAACTACTAAGCGTAGCCTCAAAGTAAATATTTTGTTTTAACGTGCATTGACATAGGGTTGNTTTTCTGCTAACATCTCTCGTACACTGTATAGATACTTGTTTGTATTATGCTTTAGAGTTAGTCAGTCATAAAAATATTAATTGTTCTTCTTCGTGCAGTTTTTTCGTCTAGCCTTCTTTCCTATAGGCACTAACACTGACTACAAGCACAAGCATTCTAAATAATTATAATTAAAAACATTTAAAAAATAGGTAGGTACGTGATAACGATTATAATTTTATGAAACGTTGACACTTTGCTTATTTTTTTTTATTCAAACCACATTTAAAATCACAATAAGCTCTTCCTAATTTGTATTTATATTTCACATTATTTTTATAGAAAATGATTCACCACAAAATAGTTGAACTCACCTGCGGTCTATGCGTCGGATAGGGGTTGCGCGGCCCGCCCACGCCGCGACAATGCGCAGCCTCCCGCGCCGGAACCAATAAATATGCGCGCGCGGCGCCCGAGCGCTGCGCCGCCCGCCAGGGGCGCCCAACTGGGATCTAGGAGCTCCTAGATAACATCCCAGTCTGGTAAATAATATTTATTCATCATCATCATCATCATCTCAGCCATAGGACGTCCACTGCTGAACATAGGCTTCCCCCAATGCTTTCCATGTTGATCGATTGGAATCTTTATTATTACGAGGAAATCATCAGAGGAAGCATCGCTGATGGTAAGAGTTGAAATGTGTTATTGTCGATTTGACACAAAGTTGATTCGCCACACTTTATACAAAATTCCTGATAATATTGAAAATAATAAAGACGATATAAATGTGTGCAGCAAATCGACAATAACCGGTTGAGATCAACGAATAATTTATTACGAATGCCAAGTTCTTTGCGATTCATAAAGCTAATTCTGAATTAATTCCGTAATGATATGAAGCGGTACTTAAATCTACAACTGTAAGAGCTTTTTAGTTCTTTTTACTTCAGAAGAGTTCCATTATAAAAATAAATCGGATATCCAGTACTCAGTATTCTATCCTACTCGTCTAAGCAACGACTCTATAAAACACAGCCTCTACGATCTTTGATGCGCAGCATTTGCTACTTACTTAATGTCTTCATGTGAGAACTCAGTCGGTCTCATCAGCCATATTTTCTTAGCGCTACGTGACTAACCTAACTAAGTACTTCCAAATCCAATTCTGTTCCATAATTCTTGAGCTAAGTCAAAAAACTTTTTCACTACAAAAATATTTTTTTCAGGTGGGATACGAAATACAAGTACTTTTTAACTATCTAGCGTAGGTTATATCAAGTTTATAACTTTATTCCAATCATCTCTATCAACATGAACCTAATTAGAAAAAAAGTCACGCAGCCCATACTCATAAAAGGTTGAGCGTCCCTTTTTCAGCCAATATCTAGGCCGATCTAATGTGTGTTTAGTGCGGTATAGCGATCGCGATCACAGCGCACCAATTCTTAAAGTAAACGGGCAATTTTTAATGGCCGCCGCGGGTCAAACGGCGCGTGCGCCTATTTTGACGCTCATTGGTAACAATTTCACGTTTCAAAATTAGATGTGACAAGTCAAGTGGATTGTTTGACAAGATACCGTTGCAGTTGGTCGGTTTTGAAATAGGTATTTTTTTTTTCCAAAAGAAACACTTGGTGACTCTACATTTTACCAAATTAAATGTTCATATTATTCTACTCGTAATTGATCGTGTATCTGAAAGTGTTAGTTAACATTATTTCAATAGAATTTAGAGATCATGCTTATTACGTAGCAGGTGTAATCAAACTAAGCAGAAAAATCGGTGATAAATCAAGCAAATGGAAATTCAAGTTCATTTATTTTGCAAGTAGGCGTTTAAAAAGCTCTTTTACACGTCCCAGTAACCACGATGAAGTAACTTATGTCTATCTATTACATAAGGCCATACAATGTCTCAAACAGAACTCAGAACAAGCAAGAATTCCTATCCACTTGAAAGAATAAGAAAAGTAATGCGGACCTACATAAGTCTGTGTTATGAGATCTCTAGGGTCGCATATTTCTAGTAGAGTGTTCGCAAAATTTCCATTCTGTGCGTATAATTATATAAAGAACGTGTTCTTATCCCATAACTTTAACCCTTTGGGGCAATAATGTGGGCCAGTGCTAAGAAGAAACATTGTATAGTTTGTACTGCGTTGTACTTGTAGAGGTCAATAATGTATGGCAGTAATCTGAGCCCGGTGTCCCAATTGTGTGATGGCGTGCATTGTCATTGGCGCCTAAGGTAAACGGCTACTAGTTCGTGATAGTACGTAAGTTCGTAAGTTTTTTTTCTAGCTCAAATAATAAGCAAATGGAATATTATTTATAAAAATTCTTTATTACTACAAAAACTCTATTATTTAAGCTATCTAAAAAACCAAGTACCAACATTGTGGCGCCAAAAATGAGAGCAATACGAAGCTTCAAACTCTCAGAGAGCCAAAAACAGCCGTGCGGCGTGAAAATGTTGCTCTCACCGTAAGGTTAGCGCTCCAACTTCTTAAGCTTATAGAAAGGCGAAGAAACGTCCATTTGCATAAAACTTGTAATAGTGGTTTCATGTGTTCCTTGACAATTGATTTGGCTTAGAAAAAAGTTATATGAAAACGTAGAATTCCTTTAAAATTGCGATTAATTGACTCACGAAATAGCGTACATATTATTTTTCGGGTGTCCCCTGTTTCGTGATACTACCGAATCAAGGATATTATGGATAATATTTTGATGCTTGGTTTTTAAATAATTATTTATGATAATTGAAATGTAAGTTATGAAACAAATAATACATTTATTTAAGTTTCTCATGATCTAAATTCGTTATATGTTTCGTTCACTAGAATTTATATGACACGAGTTTGAAGTTCACATAAATGACCAATTTTAAGATAAATTAGCATAAGTACTACCAGCGTAATTTTGGTTTTAATTCGATTCGTCTTATTTATCTTGGTTTATTTGTATTTTATATGGGATAGATAATAGTTAATTGACACAATTTGACAATAATCCATGAATTTTACTTGGGGAATTTGGAATAATCAGTATCACGAAACAAGGAACCGTAATTATTGTTACTTTTTCCCAAGTTCGTGATATATAAATGTATAGTGTTAGGTACTTGTATGACACATAACATCAAAGAAATCGACATATTTTTTAGTTTTTAATACTTACCTACCTAAGTAATAAATTAATTAATTTTTATTATGAGTCATTGGCGTATATGGGGTTATTTTCAGGGGGGGCTACCCTCACTTGAAGCAGCTCCAGGGGTGGGGGGTAATAATACCCCCCCCCCCTCATTTTTTAAACTTAGACTTGTATGAATATTTTCACATAAATCGTTAGAAATAAAAAATCTAAATCTTATGGGTACGAAGGGGGGGGGGGTTAAAGGCCCCCTACATTTCTGATGGTTATATAAATATTTTCACATATTGTTAGAATAATAAATCAAAACTTTATACGAAGGTACGTACCTACCTAGCTAGACAGACTCACATTATTTCTCATGAATATTTCAGGTAAGTAATATCGTCAATTTCATAGAATTATTTTATTCTAAAATTATACTATCGTTTTTAAATTTATTAAACCCTTAATCATTATTAAAATATCCTAACTCGATGCGTAAAACTTTATCCCGAAATAGGGGACATGAGTTCACGAACTTAGAAACAGAGCAAAATTTTATCACGAAACAGGATCCAAACAAGAGGTCCGCAGAACAATTAATATTAAAAAAAGTTCAAACAATATAACTATAATTTATGTATTAAGTTACTGTCAAAAGACCAAAGTTTAGCATACAAAAGCTTTCATACCGATATCATGCTTGGTTATTTTTAAATAAATTGTTAAAGTCGTAAGAGCCTTAATATACCGAAGTAGGGGGCACTTACCTTATATGCAACATTTAAATGAGAGGACCCGTTGCTAGTAACAGTCTAAAAATAACCATCTTGGTAATGAAAAGGCAGCTAAACTCTTCAATAAAAGACTATAAAAGTAGCCAGTTTTTTCTTGTCTAGTTAAACCCATTGTCACTGTTTAACTAATTAAATTACTTCAAACTTACGTTATTTATTTTAAAAGCATACCGACAGCAACAAATTACATAATCAGAAAAGTTTTAGGAGACTGTTTTTATCCTGTTCTCTTATTCAAAATCAAAATCAAAATCAAAATTATCTTTATTTGTTTAGACTAATTAAATTAGTTCTTGCAAATCGTCAAATGCTCTTAAGGAGCCTATACATGTCTCATTCTTTTTTTGCCCTACCAGCGCTTCGAGACAAACATTTGGCAAGTGCTGAGAAGAAGCGCCGCAACAAACTCAGTCACCACTGTCTGCCGGTTTAAAAATATAAAAAAGTAGGAAGTTACATACATTCAGAAGCAAGTTACTTACCACGCGCTCCCGTTGATAGAAGGTGGCCTTTAAGACGCCCATCTAGCACGAGACCGCGTGGCAGTTTTGAATATATTTCTTTAGTGCCGTGCTAATTTCTAGGTTAATTGTTGCGTTTTGATACATATATTTTATGTCAGGTATATCTTTCCTTGACCAGTCCCCGAAGGCAGCGCCTGTTCACAGACATGACGTGTGAACCAGCCATCGCTTCACTCGACCATATTATATGTTAGCAACGAAAGGATTAACGCTGATTTGGCTATCAAATTACACCTGAGGAACGCGGGGAGTCGTACGGGATAACAAAAAGATATTCCTTGTGGCATTCGAACGTGGGCCGCGAGCGAGTAAAGCCGAGAGCTTTCGGAAGTGTGTTGTGTACCTATGATTGATGGCTTGATTTAGCAAATTATGGTATTGGTGAATAAGTTGGTTTCAGACTATTTGTATTTAATATCCAATTTGTGAGTGAGTATGTGTACGAATCTAACAAAATGATAATAATTGTACTTAAAGTGTACCTTCGGCCTGATCATCACTTACCGTCAGGTGAGATATAGGCCAAGAGCTTCCTCGTTCTGGATAAAAAAAATCTGTTACAGGAAATGTATGAATTGTATACAATTCCTAAGCTATTTAGTAAATGTATAAAATATGCTATTCCTTAAGCTATACAACAGGGTGGAATTTTGTAATGCCACCTGGAGGGAAAGTACCCTTAATAATGGAGATAGAAAATGTTACTCAAAGAAAACATTCTTTTAGTTTTGAAAAGAAAGAGAACTGCATTCAAAGATTTTTGAAAATTTTTCGAAAATTTACCACCATCCATACCCTACAATTTTCTGTAAATAATTACAATAATTTAAGATTTCATAGTTTTCCTTTCATTTGATTTATCAAGTTTGCTTGAGAGATTTCATCCTTATACTTAACCCTAACGATCGATTAAATAAAAATACAGGGTGTAATTTTTAACATACTTTAGTCGGTTCGAT